CACAAATATCAGCTAATATGAAGGTTTAATTAAATAAAACATAGTATTTTTTTCTTTCTTAAGGTTATAAGAGCTATCTGAATACACATCTGGATTCATGGTAATATTATCATCTAATCTGATACATGTAATGCTCAAATTGAGACAGATTCAATCTCCTCTGTCAATTGAAAATATTATCTATTATATTGTGAGGCAAGTTTCTTCCTCCTGTCTTATCTATATTATCTTAGTTACTTAATTATCTATCAAAGGACTGTGGGTCAAGTAGGAGTACAGGGACTTGATCCACTTTATTATGCCCAAAAAGAACGTAGGACAACTGAAAATCCACAACAGGAGTGGCATCTCGCATCTTATATATCACTCTGCCAAACTCCATCATAACTCTTATTACTTGCAGGTAAGGTGCGTGATATTAAATACTTCCCAAATGTAATGTGAGGATCCAAATAAAATATGTATTCAACAATATATGAAAAACAAGACAATGTATCTGATACATCCTCACGAAAATTAATCTCCTCTTTCAATATCTAACAATAAATGTAACTCCATGACAAAAAAAAAACCGACTGAAATGTTGTAATTCTCTGTGTTGTGAGTTTTACCCGGCCTGCTATGATAATGGACTTAAAATGTCTTATCTGATAAGTGAACACTGTCAACAACATAATTACGGGAACAGCCCTAATCCATGTCTCCAGGGTGATGCTTTTGCACGAATGAGAGCCCTATGTTCCACTGCAGAGATAAAAGACAGAGATGAAGAATAGCGGGCCAGGAAAGAACAAGAAGGATTTTCCTTTTATGTGGTCTTAAAATGATACATCATTTGGTTGTCAAACTGCAGTGCTATTGTTGCTCTTGTGTGTGACGTGTCTCTGCTGTATTCTGGCTTTTGTCTTGCAGAGGCATCATCTGATGCATACGTGGATACAAAAGTCATACCAGCCCGTTATACATTTTGTCTTGGCTGATTAGTTGGTAAAACTGTTATTGTATTCATTATTGTCATGTCGTATCCTCTAGAGACCTACTATCATCGACGTACCGCAGTGAATTGGTGGATATCTCCCTGCTACTCTCCTGGAAAGACTCTTTTCTAAGCATGGTTGCTCCTGATTTGGTTTCATCATTGCTGCAGCTGTGGAAAGTGTAGCGCTTGACATTTAAGACTCACTCCTGAGATGCAGAGCTCCTCCTTGCATTAGTGATCACTATAGCACATGCAAAAGGAAAGACTGTGTGTTTCCACTGCACTAATCTCCTATTACTGCCATATTGTGACAGCTGATATAAGGCGTTTTTCTTTTGTCCTGGAATGTGCATGTACACTTTTTGAAGATATGGTGACAAAGTTAATGTCTTTTCCCAATTTCACATTTTGAGCACAGAGTTCTTTGCTCTTACTTGGCTCATTAGATTCAATGGGCTACAATCAGGGAGCTGAGTTACAGTTTCCTGGAGGGTCAGTTATCAAATTGGACGCTACACACTTGAACTTCACAGTCCTGTGGTTACACATATCTCTGACCGAGGGAGAGGCTGGCAACTGAATCTATTAAACCGAACACAACTCTGGTTACACTAACTCTTGAATATAAGATCAGTGAAATATGCTGCTCTTGAATTATTCCATTCCAATATTTCTGCTACAGTTCTTTCAAAGTGGCACAAGAGACTTATGCTCAGCACTCCTACGCACTCTCTGTAAAGCTTGAGTGCGCTCACTGAGCCATGGCAAGGCATTTTGTTTTGAAACTGTGCATTCCAGAAATCTTTCACTACTGTTTTTCATTTTTATTGCTGGCCTAGAACTAATCCATCGCTCGCAAGGAGAGCTGAAGGGGCACCAAGACGTTTAGAGTTTAATGAAATATCTGCTTCCCAGTTCCTTTAACACAGTGGACCTTCAGGGTTTCTCTTTAGGGCTTTCGTTGCTGTATCCCTCCTCTCCCTCTGGCGCTGAGCAGGAAATTGAGGGATGGATCTGTACACAGTGAAGCGCTGATTAAGACCTGATGTTACCATGCTGCATGTGCCATGTTATCTCAGACCCATGGATAGAGCTTAGCCATGATCAAACGAGGTTTTATAGGTTTCCAGTGACAATAAAACTGAACATGGCATTTATTTACTGTCTATGACTCATCAGCACCCACTTAAAGCTGTGGTAATTCTGTACTGTAATGATTATACATCACTATGGGGCCTTGAAATCGTTGCAATTTATTTGAGTTATTAAAATGCAATATGGTCCCAGACTTTGCAAAACGCAACATGAAGAATGTGTAACCAGCAAAGCAAGAAACCAGAAAATTTATATATGAATATTTGGTCGTAAAACACTCTCAGCATTGAAATAAAAAACTGAGTTATCAACTAACTTAGCTCGTTATCTGTCAGGGCTATCAGAGTAGTACGTAGTGAAACTGGCTGCAGTTCAAACAAGACACGTGTAATACGTCATCCAATTATCTGCTGTGCAACGTTGTTCTCCATGTCAGGATTATGATATGTGCTGTAAACTGTGGAGAATGTACATCATAATCCTTAATCTTCTTAGCGAACTTCGGTTGCTTAATTAAAGACTCCATTCAACAGAACAACACAAAGGCATTACATCATTCTAACATATTGTATTTATTACAGGACTTCTCAACATTACAGTCAGCCCTGCGTCATTACAAACTAGTCTTCATTTTCCTCATATATTTCTCATAATAGAAAGTCACTGTTATTCTTCCTCTGGGACTGGAAATTCAAACATGATAGTAATTTACTTTCACCTTTAGGACAAGCAGGACAGGACATCAACAGAGGTTGGTCTGAAGCAGGACTTTGTTCCCTAAGGTATGAGATGAAGTAAAATGCAAGAATAGAAGCGTCCTGACTGTTTAACCGTCAAAATCATGGATCTTTTACTGGCCGTCATGGATCATATTTCAAATCTTGCTGGAATCTGAAACAACACAATCTCTGGTATTGTTTAAATGCAGGGCTGTTTTCATTTTGAACTCCTGTTCATGGTTAGGAGTCACAAAGATAACTGGGTTCAAGCAGTGATTTGCAACCTTTTCCATGTCAAGGACTCTTAAATTGATAAACATTAGGTCACGGCACCCCATTTGATAGGATTTTATTTCAGGGACCTCCACGCTAAAAGATTGTGGCTGTAAGATATTATTAAGACCAGAATTCTTTTGTTGTCAACTATAGTTCAGGAGACAACTGCGGAGAAAGTGAAATCTGTGATAAGAGTATTTTTTTGAGAGGGGTCCCTCTAGGACTCCCTCAAGGACCCTTGGGGGTTCTCAGACCCCTAGTTCAGAACCACTGTTGAAAGGATAGGTATCCAGTGAGCGGCAGTTCTGTGGATGAAAATGCCTTGTTGATGCCAGAGGTCAGAGGAGAATGGCCAGACTGGTTCAGGATGACAGAAAGGCAACAGTAACTCAAATAACCACTCGTTACAACCAAGGTATGCAGAAGACCATCTCTGAACCAACAAACATTGAAGCAGATGGGCTACAGCAGACGACCACACCAGGTGCCACTCCTGTCAGCTAACAACAGGAAACTGAGGCAACAATTCACACAGACTCACCAAAACTGGACAATAGAAGATTGGAAAAAACGTTGCCTGGTCTGATGAGTCTCAATTTCTGCTGCGACATTCAGATGGTAGGGTCAGAATTTGGTGTAAACAACATGAAAGCATGGATCCATCCTGCCTTGTATCAATGGTTCAGGCTGCTGGTGGTGGTGGTGTAATGGTGTGGGATATTTTCTTGGCACACTTTGGGCCCCTTAGTACCAACTGAGCATCATTTAAACGCCACAGCCTACCTGAGTATTGTTGCTGACCGTGTCCATCCCTTTTATGACCACAGTGTATCATCTTCTGATGGCTACTTCCAGCAGGATAACGCACCATGTCACAAAGCTCAGATCATCTTAAACTGGTTTCTTGAACATGACAATGAGTTCACTGGTGCTTTTGGTGCTTGATTTGGGGGTGAACTGTCCCTTTAAGCCAGGTTTAAGGAAAAATTGTAAATGATTTTTATCGTGCGGAAGTCACTGGAAGACACTGCGATGTTGTGTCTCAAATTGCGTACTTCTGTACTTACACTTAATATTTTGAGTACATATTCACACTGAGAAGTATGGAAAAATACAGTGCACTATGAGTACCCGGATGGTGCACTCAAAACTGTCAAGAAGTTGAGTGTGGAACTATGGACACTTCTCGCCCTCAATGTTCGCCATCTTGGCTACGTAGCGGAAGGGGAGGGATCACTTTTCAAACTGGAAATGGCGGCCGAGGACTGTGCGACCGTGAACGTGCATTGTACAAATGTGTTTTTTGCACTAAGCACCACTGTACTATTGTCAGATAAAAGCCTGCAGTATGTTTATTGGGTTAATTTAGCAGTCTGTAATGATTTTGTACAGCAAACGATAACACAAATGCTAATGCTTGTTTGCTAACTAGCTAATTTGTGGTCATCATTTCCGGTAAGTGCACAATGGCCGTGATTGAAGTTTGCGCAGTACGCCAATAAGTACATAGTGCACATAGTATACTACAAGGAAGTGTACTAATGGAAGTATGTGATTTGAGACACACTACAGGTCTTCCTTTGCTACATTAAAAAATTGTGAACCTATCCTATATTAAGTAGGGTGAGGTTTAGCTAATAGGAAACAAAATAATGGAGAAACACTAAAACATTGATTAAAGTGTGTGCACTTCACCTTTCAAACTTACAGCGTATGAAATTATAATGATACTTACAGTTATTAAACCATTGTTCTCATAAATCACTACATATTGATAGTTTGTAGGTTTTTTGTTATGTGTGTGTATGTGTGTGTTCCCCTCGGTCTCCCTCGCACCCCACCTCACCGCCTCCCGTCCAATCAGAGCAGAGAACGTCCATTCGGGCCTCGCGACCGTGCAGCAGCAGCAGCACAGAGCGGAGCGGGGAGACAGTGGGGGAGGGTCACGTGTGTACACACTGTAGGGCTCAGCAGCACTCCAGCAGTAGTAAAGTCTGTTACGGACGGCCCCTTTTCAGAACAAGCCTCGTCCGAAAAGTTGATAGGTGAAGTAAGTCTCCATCGTAACGCACTTAAACGCGTCTTTTTGCAGTTTCTGCCGCTTTTAGAGCGCGAGGGAGAAGCCGAAGCGACTATTTTAGGACGTGTGTTTGTGAAATGAAACGACTGAGAAATGCCAGTGGAAATGCTCCATCCAAACCCAATGCCTCCGTAGGTTTGTCACCGAGCCAACGCTTTACGTTTCTGGTGAGTTTTACTATCTTTTGTTATTCTGGCGACCCACAGCTGAGATGTTGTTGCCTTCAAATGTCACCTCACAGTGTTGGAAAAGTGAATTTGCCCCGTTGAAGGTGACTAGATGCGAGGGTGAGGAGCTGTGCCAACAATAGCCGCAGAAATAATGGTGAAGCCGTGACAGCTATCCACGCTTTGATCTGTGCAGTCAAGTGTGATGGAGAGACACAATGTCCGCGGTAATGAAGAGAGAGATAACCACAGGCTGCTTCGTGTTTCTTCCCCCCTTGTTCAGCTGGAGCAGCTCCACAGTTTTATCGACGCGGTTATATTTGGAAAACAACACCTGAGGAGGTTTCTCACGCGATCAGCTTTCTCATGTGCTGGCTGGGAAAAGTTATCAGTTCAGTCAGGGATCTCTGAAGTTAAAGGGTGCTTCACTGGCAATAAGAAGTGTAGTTTTAAAGTTGTGGTGCAGTGCATGGATAATAGCTTATGTCTTGTTGACATGACATGACCATGACACCTAGAGGATGTCAAAATGAGTCCATATGCAATGTTTATAACTGTAGACAGCAAGATGAAGGCAGTTTTGCTCTCTGGATCAGCAAATTAGTAATATATGTCCTTAAATTCCAGGCCATCCATGACTTAATATTACTTTTTCACATGTATTTTTATGTATTCATACATAAAATATAAGATCATAACCTGCCAGAGTAATGCAGTGTTAGATTCTTCAGCTCCCACACATACACATGAATATGTTCTCCGAGTTTTATTTTTATCCACTGGTTTCAACACAGCTTGCCATCTTTGTTTTCATAAACATCTCAACACCTTTGATAAGCTCTTAAAGGGACTATATAATAACATATATTAACAGATGTTCCCTTTAGTTACTAATTATGTGCCAGTAATTATAGTCAGCAACACGGAGACTGGGTAAATGTCTCTGCCAAAGTAGTTCTGCTCACCAAATAAAAATGCTCCTTGAGATTTAGGCTTTGCACTTGTTGTCGTCAACTTCATCCATGTGACTGAAGGGGACGTGGGCATGTGTGCCATGGCTTAATGGCAGTAAGCCTGCTTTGTGCTGACCATTGAACTCTGACTCTGTCGATGCCTGTCACAGTTCAACATGTTGCCGGAAAAGACACTGAGGAGGGCTGTCTTGACTGGCAGTGACCTGTGCTTGACCAGAGGCTCTTACACTATAACTTGGTGTGAGGCAATACTGTTTTCCCAAAACAATTTGGACATCATTCAACACCCTCTGTGTAGGCATGAGAGTCAGTTAAATCATCAAAATTTGGATTGTTTGATTTTTCTGCGATTAACCTGCCAGGACTTGTAGATTAACAGATTGACAAGAAGAAGCCAGGCAGGTGGATAATTGACCTATTTGTACAGTTTGCGTAAAAAAATCTGTAGTTTGCGAGGAACCCATACAATAACAAGTTATCTTCCCAACAAAAACAATTCCAGTGCCGTGACTCAATTCTTTGGGGACTGATGATGATTTGGGGGAAAATGTTCAGAGTTATGTAAAACCCTTCTACAGGAATGGAGTCGATGGCAAGTACTTTAATCACCTCTGAGAGCTTAGTGATTTTAATTTGCAAAATGTTATTCAGCATTAGCATGCACCTGAAGTCGGATCCCTCATTAATACTCTGAGTTAATGGGCTGCTTTCCAAGAATAAAAGGCAGCTGAGAAACACACTAGAGCCAGAAAAGATTTAGGGACTTTCTTAAATGAAGCATTTACATTTTAATGGCCGTTCATACTGTAAGTAGTTTAGTTCCATGGGCAGGTACTTAAAATCATACACTGTTAATTGCCAGGAAATTCTGTGCATCAAATGGCATTGTGTTATACTTCCCCTCTGACATTATTGCACAGTCCCAGCATGTGTTTGCTGAGAAATGTGTGTCATGCAACCTTATTTCCCTTCTGTAGTATTTCTGTTGCTGCTCCACTGCACGTTGCCGCAGACACAAGCAGCGAATCATGTGACATCACTCAGTACTTTCTGAGAAGAGCCTGTAAATTCCAGTAAGGATATATGAGGGGTGTGGGCCCAGTATGTCACACTACTCCCATCAGCCCGCGAGATCTGGCTTCAAAACTCTGAGACGTCAAGCACGTGGGCGTCACTCTTACGAGATCAGGTTTGGTGGGGCTGAAGCATGCTGAAGCACGGCCTCCCCCTCTGGGAATATTTAACTTTAACCACTTTTGACACGGAGAAGGGCAAAAAGTTCAGACAGGGCTTAGCCAAGTCTATGACTGCAGTCAAAGTCGTGCAAGAAGGATCTGACAAGAGCTAAGGCTATTCTTACTCAGCTGTGTAACTTTACGCATGGCACCTCTGCAGGAAGCAAGTGGCATGAAGCCACCTTTCTCCTGGTTTTATTCTCACATACTCACATGCATACTACAGTAACCAATCTGCATAAATCACTGCATAGTAGTACTGCCTTAAAAGAGAGGCAGCCACCACAAGTTGCTATGCCCCAGGTTGTGCACATGCTGTAATAACATCTGAAATACTGCCTGTTGTTTTGCTCATGACATCACATCTCTGACCTTCACTCAGCTGCAACATCTGTAGATTTGGCAGAATCTGGCATGGACTTCAAAATGAAATGCTCCCCATTACCCTGAATTCAAACAGACATTTCTCTTTCACCTCGTCTGTTTGTCCCTCAGCTGAGTGGAAAACTAGAGATTTCATTATCATGGGCTGCTGGCAAAATGTGCAGAGCTACAAGGTGCAATGACAAAACCAAAGGTTGCCCTGAGTGAATGAATGAATGCAGACATTGCAAAGCCAGCAGTGGTTATTTACAAGCGTATGGTTTAAAATACCAGGCTACAATACCTGACTGTGTTTTTTCACTTCGCAGTGACCTGGAGGAAATGCAGAATAAATTAATGGCTCCCTAATATTGTACTAATGGGCATTTTCTTCTCCATTCATGCGGCACAACTGTAATGTCTGGCCAAATTGGTTTGGCCTATTTTTAAAAGAGTGAAATCCTGTGGGTGTGATTTTAGAAAGAAGGCCCTGATGATCCAGCATGAATAAAATATATGTACATAATAGGGGTTTAATGGTACACAGAAGTCCCAGTTCAGTGCGGGTTCGGTACAGCGAAAAATAAACTAACAAATGTTTCAGGATATGTCTCTTTCTGTTTATTTTGAACAGACAGTAGTGCAAGTGTCAAAGAAAGAATCCTCTTCCTGGGGACTTAGGTACATTTTGTCCTTTGACAACTTTTTTTAAACTATAGAAATAAGGATAATTTAAAACACTTGCATATTAAACTGTATGAACACTGAACAAACATGTTCCCAAAAGGCAACAGGTCACAACAGGCTATAAAACTGATAAGCATCTCTGATGCTATGAAACTGAAAATGCCAAAAAATACACTGAATAATAGAAAATTAAACTTGTGCATAAGTAGGAGAGTTATAATTAGTCTCACACCTTGGCTACATTAAAACATTCAAAGAACCCAAACATTTATCATCCTGGTGATCCGCACATCTGGGTGGTGTCGTCAAATGTGAGTTAGCATGTTAGATGTTTCCATTCACATCTCATATAATGAAGAAAACACTTGTCTTACATGCCATGCTTTCTCTGTTGCTGTTGTAATAGACCAGGAATCGAAGGCGGGTCCAATATTTCACTTGTACTCACCATAGTGTGACTGACTTAATGTGTGTGCTGGGCTGCTTTTAGATGTGAGGGCTCGTGCTGCTTCCCAGCATTGGACGCTTGATGGGCATGCCACTAGGCACGTAGGCTGCCTCCCCGAAGATTTCAAACTGGACCGATATAGCGGCTCGTTTGGCAACTTTCTCTTACATTGCAAAAATAGTTCACTGAGATGTGTTTCTGAAAACAAGTAAGGCTAGAAATATGCAGTGCAGTTGCTGAATCAGTCTGACACTAGTCAGTTGAAAAGGTTTTCTTGAGTTTCCAGAGGTGGTGATTTGTGCCGGATGCCCCTGATTTTCATAAAGTTGCCTAAATTCAGCATTATGCAAATAAGGGGCAAATGCCCTGCCTTCGAAATGCAGCACAGTGCTACCAGATTGCATGGCACAACTGCTTACATAGATAATGAATGGGAAGTGTGGAAATGACAGATCCTGTGGACATGTACCTTGACTCGCACGCCAATCCACTTGTGCTAACCTCAGAGCCTGTTGCAGCATATGGCTAAAAGCTTCCAAAACCTCACACTTATGAAGTCTGGTTCCACATAACGTGCATCCCTCTACATACCATGTATTCCACGTGCAGCTGAGTGCACCGGACCGTGAGCCCCATACCATGACAGTTTGGTGCGAATACCCAAACCCTAGCACATATAATTAATTCCTGTCAAATCCGGTTGGTAAAAGTATGAAATTCCAAGGTGTCAGTGTCCACAGGCTGTCAGTTTTCATCTCTATTTCCTCATTGTTTTGTCATTGTCAAGGTCTCGTGTCAAATACTAGGCATATACCATCTATGGAGTAACAGGAGACGACGTCTTTGGAAACAAACTGTTTAAGTAATTAAACACCAGCACACCACAAACCTGTTTGCAGAAATTTAGTTTCCCGTCAGTTCTCAGAAGCAGTAGTTCAAGCCAATGCGATAATGAAAGGGTGGCTAAAACGTCTGTACATAGCAGGTGCTAATGAATGGGGACAGCCAGCCACAATGCAGTGTCTCCTCTTTAACAATCACCAACTTCTCTTTAAGTCATTTTCTCCTAAAGCGATCAGAGGTTGTTGAAAGGTAAACAGACGTCTTCCAATCTACAGCACATTCAGATAAGAGCGCATAATCTATGGGAGACGACCACAGCTAATTATGTACTTGTGTCAAGGCCTGTTTTAGTAAATGAGTCACCCTGGCTGCTTATGTTGGAGAGCCGTGTTTACAAGAGGTCTGACCAGTGCTCCTGTCTTGGTGAAGACAGGTTGTTTTGTTAAGAGTAACTCTACACTTTGTTCCTCCTGATCCTGGTCCAGTCCAGCTCTGAGCTCCAGCCTCCACTGTAGTCTCATTACAGCCAACTGGAGTAGTATAGAGGAGGGACTGAGGCCTTGTGTGTGTATATGCGTCTGTGTCTGAGGCTTAAGGCCAAAACAGCCCTTCTGTAGTGGTGTTACATAAGTGAACGGAAGAATGTTTCCCCTTTACTGGCATCGTTACTCATCCTCCTGAAAACAAAACTGCCTTCCTGCACTTTGTTCCATGGTATTTTGAAGGCAGAGGTTTCCAGAAAATCCTGCACAGATTAGCACGTAATTTTTTTTATGTCTAAGTTTGTCTGCTCTTCAGAGAATCCTTTGGAGTTCCTTTCCAGTTTTGGGAGTGAAGCCAGACGTGTTGAAACATAACAGCCAAATTATCACAGCGGGAATAAAATACAGTGAACTGGAGTGACTTATCACTGCAGTCCCGCGATAGCCTTATGATCTTCCATTTCCTTGACCAAAGCGGTTTGAATAATTTATTTAAAAGGACCTGAGTTAATTATGCAAGGCAGCATTACAGAAGCTTTTTTCAAAACTCGCAGCGCTGTCAAGCTTGATCCCAAACACTCCCGACATGCGCGTGGTCGTCTTCTTTGACCTTGCCCCGAACTCCAACCCCCGCGACTCAATCCCCGCTGACCCTTTGCCAGAGCCTGCTTCACATTTCACTCTTTATAAATCTACCCATCACCACGTGCCCAACCCCTAGTCAACCTGAACAGAAGGGTGCATGTGCTTAACTCTGAGCAGCAACGCCAAAAACAGTCTGTAAAGTGTCAGGCTGGAGAAGTGTTTTTCTTTATCTGGCTGCTTGACCATGTGAAAAGCACAAGGGTGGCACTGCACAGGCAGCAAAGACCCTGCATGTGACTGTGATAGAGGGAGAGAAAGAGAGGCAGAGCACCAAAGGAAAAGCTTGTAGAGGCGTCAAACACTTGCTTTGGCCAGTGTGGCTCTCAAAGAGGAGAAGTAGTGGGTTGTGAGGCCGAGCTAGCAAGTGAAACATATTGTGAGGCGTTTGTATTCAGCCAGTCAGATGCAGTGAAGTGAAATTAACAGTGTTACCCAGGGCATAATAGCTGCGCCGTGGCTGACGTGTTTTTGTGTCAAGGCCTTGTTTGCTCCTCTAGCCAGCGCAGAAACCAAGAATAGAAAACGTTGAATTGTGCTCATAGAGGAAATACAACTGAATGTGGTTTAGTTTTGTTTTTTTGTGGTACTTCCTCAGAACTTAGCCTGGCACTTCAATTTAACACCCATTGCCAGCAACAGAGAGAATTGGTTAGCTCTATTGTGATGCATCATCACTACTTCAACAATATAATTATACACAGTAATAAGAGACCAGGCAAAACAGAGCATGCACAGACTTGGACGTAAAGTACATGCATCATACATACAGTAAAACTTACAAAATAACAATGCAATGTTTGCTTCTTTTTTTTTTTTATATTTGTGCTTCAGTCTATTAACTGCCCATTTGATTGTTGTGTTTTTTGTCATCTTTTTCACTTCCTATTTGATTTGATCCCTGTTGTTAACTCCATGTGCCATTTCTCTTTTGTCTTTCTATTTGTGTTTCCTTCTAAGTTGTCGTATTCTCCAAATAGGTTGACATGTTGAAATGTTTCATTGTAATTAGATATTAGCTTGTTAATGTGTTGCAATAAATTGTAAAGGGAGGCTTTGCCTGCGTCCCTGTTGCTACAGTTACCCATTGTAGATAAAGGCTGATACTGTATAGTCAGTGTATTAATTTAGTCAGTGAATGCACAGTGTTACTGGAACTACTGAGTGGGTGTCCTGCTTCAGGAATTAAAGGTCCAGTGTGTAGGATTTATGGGAATATAGTGGCAGCAATGGAATATGAGTAAGTTTTCTTTATTGTAAAATGATCTGAAAATAAGAATTGTCATGTTTTTACTACCTTAGAATGAGCTGTTTATCTGCATAGGGAGCAGTTCAAACAGACAAACCAAACACTGACTCTAGGATAGGGGCATTTGTGTTTTTGCATCAGCCACTATAGTTAGCAGCCCCTCTGCAACAAGCCAAACAGATTTTTAGGGTGAAACAGTTTCATTCAGTGTTTTTACATCTTAGAATATTTCGGCTCCCGGTTAAAAACCTCATGAATATCTGGGTCTTAAGTTATCAGAGAGGGCTAGGGGTCCATCTGCGATAAAAAGCATTGGAGAAAAACACTGATTTGTAACATGAAACTGTTTTATTCAGTGTTTTTACCAGTTTAAATCACCTTGTCCCTTTGTTTTGGAGAGGAAGAGACCTCTGTAGATGATTCAGCTCCCATTAAAAACCTCCTGAACAATGATCATTGTGGGAATTCTAACTGGGAATTCACGCTAGGTACATAGAAGTTTCAGCTGGTTGCAGTTTACATTCCTCACCACTAGGTGCCACTAAATCCTACACAGAGCATTTCACAGCAGCTAAATCAGACTTGAGTAATCACCCAGACTGTGGTATAAACAGTAATAATATACTGTACATTGTATAACATTCTGAACTTATTTTATTGTTTTACACTGAAATGAGCAATGGCTACCACATCCACATAAACTGTTTTTCCACTCTATATTAAGTACATTATGAAAGTACCAGTAGTTTTATTAGTTCTACCCATATTTGATTTTTGTCAGTATTACTCAGCTATAATTATTACTGGTAATTGATAGCAGTCATGGTGTTTATTATCTGTTCTGCAACTAACTTGTGTCTCTCTACCTCTCTGCCTGCAGTCGGCCTGTTGAGAGACTTGGCCTGTGTCAGAGCCCAGCGATGTGGCTCTGCACGGTTTACAATGAGACGGACACCAGCGTGGACTTCCGGCTCTGCCAGGACTTTGGCCTCATCCTGTCAGTCTTCTCCCTCATCTACCTCCTGGTGTGCTTCCCGTTGGGGCTGTGCTACAACGTGCTGCTGGTCGTGGTCAACCTCTCCAACAAGGTGTCCATGACCATGCCGGATGTTTATTTCGTCAACATGGCCATCGCTGGCCTCGTGCTCAACCTGGTGGCGCCCGTGGAGCTGCTGAGTTCCACCTTCACCCGCTGGCACGCGTGGGAGTACAACAACGAGGTCTACATCACCCTGCTCATCCTCTTCAACATCTCATCTCTGGTCATTATGTATTCCACCACGCTGCTCAGTCTGGACTACTATATAGAGCGGGCGCTGCCTCGCACCTACATGTCCAGTGTGTATAATACCAAGCATGTGTGTGGGTTCATCTGGGGCGGTGCAGTGCTCACGAGCTTCTCTTCGCTGCTCTTCTATGTGTGCAACCACATCTCCACTAAGATGGTTGAGTGCTCAAAAATGCAGAACAAGGAGGCAGCGGACGCCATCATGATGTTCATCGGCTACGTGGTTCCAGCTGTGGCTGTCCTTTATGCCTTTGTGCTCATATTGCGCATCAGGAAGGAGTCTACACCTCTGGACCAGGACTCAGCTCGCTTGGACCCTTCTATCCACAGACTGCTGCTAGCCTCAGTCTGTGTACAGTTTATACTGTGGACCCCGTACTACATGACCCTGTTGGTACACACTGTAGCCGGTGCACCAGGGTACATTAGCAATGCACATTACATACCCACATATTATTTCTTGAGATGTGTGTCGAAACTGCTGGCTTTCTCAAGCAGCTTCGCGATGCCTCTCATGTACAGGCAGATGAACAAAAACTTCTCCAACAAGCTTCAGCGGCTGCTCAGGAGGCTGCACTGCAGAGACCAGTCCTGCCCTCATGAACGCTCAACAGTGCAGCAAGTGGTGACGTGAGATCTCCCTCCTGGAAGATTACCCACAACCCTCCCACTCCCTCTTTTCAACCTCTCGGCGTAGGCGGCACTTATCTCCCCCCCCCATGGAGCAAGTATCTGACTGGGCTCCCTTGCTGCTCTGGACTGTGTTAAGAGCGACATAGCTAACTGTGGAATTTCCTGTCACCTTCCAGAACTTGATCTGATCTATCCAGTTCTGCAGTGAAAGGACAAACCAAGAAAAAAACCACTAAGTGCTGTTATTTTTTTTTTTTTTTGTCACTGAGTGAAGCTCTCCACTAAGACACTTGAGCTTCTAGTTTGAGGGCGGTAAATTGGCACAATCAGCTGATAAATACCCAGCGCAGAGTTTCACACAAGTACTAATGAAATGTCTTTTAGCAAGGGACTCAACAAGCACTATACCATTGCAGTGGGTGCAGCTTTCCTTATGCGAGTGTGTTTTGAGTGTTCTGTTGAACATGTTTTATCATGCATGACTGCACAGTATGCTACTAGATACAGTTTAAGTCCCAACAAGAATAATTAATAAATGGTGCAGATGCATTTGTCTAACACAAGCAGATTGACATAGCTAACTTTACTTATTAAGTGAAGCCAAGTTGTTTTGTTTCTTAAGAAAAAACTGCGGTGACCAAGACATTTGAGTGAACTGCATATCCAAAACGTTCTGCAAATTCAAAAAACACAAATGCTTGAATGGAAAACAAAAATGCAAAAGCGATAATGGAAGTGAGCATCAACGAATGTGAGGATTCGTATTTATGTAATCTGCCATCTAATGTTATGAAGCTAGCTATGCAGTAACGTTAGCATTACACCATTTAGCTAACATAAGTCAATTAGACCAATGTAGCCTAAGCTGCAACCATATGGAGACATAGCTGTATTAAATCGGATTTATGGTAGGTCGCTGAACCCTTTCTTTGAAGTGTCACTGTCAGTGTTTTTTAAATTTATGCTTCAGGTTAAATTGTTCTCCTTTGTACGTTAATCAGAGACCCTTTTCTTAAATATGAAAAGACATTGGACAACATGGCTCATTTGTGACAGTCACATAGCGATAGTTATAATAGTTTGCCAGCGAACATCGTTTTACTCACTGCTCAGACAGAAAGGAACTTGCCTCTTCCATATGTGTAGGCTATAATAGTTGGCTTTTGCCAAAGTGTTGTCGCTTTTGCATTTGTGTTTCCATGTTTTTCATAATTGCAATGCATTCGCCAGTTTGTTCAAAACATCTCAGCTACCATAAAATACTCCACAACCCTGCATTGATAGATGGATGATTGGTGCCGGTATATCAACAGCCCACCAGAGTTAATCAACATGCATTGTTTGTCATTTTGCGCTGCGGGTTAACATCACCGTTTACTGCCCTCAAACTAGAAGCCTTAATCACTTGAATGAGAAGACAGCTCTACCTTTCCGGAGCTGAATATTGCTTTTACGTAAATGTGCTGAACATGATTCCTCATCATCAGAGTAAATAATCTTCACATTGTAAAGGTTGAATACAATATAAATGGTCTCTTAATTTCAAAAGCTATCTTCTGTCTCGACACCAGTGCTACCCCGTAGCTAGACGTAGGTACTGGTGTGAAGAGATGTTTTCATTTCAGTTTAATAAATTGAGCAGTGAGGCATAAAGAGATTATCCCTACATATGTCAAGCTCCACAATAAATACCATATTTAATATACATCCACACCACTTTGAAGTCACACAGAACTACATCGACAGACAGACATAACCGGTATACCTCTTGTTTTCTGCTGAAATCACCTGCTGAACATAAGCAGTTCAACTCAACTCATTAAAAATCAGCTCTTTCATTTGAGCAGAGAGCCTCGGCCCAGTGTGTGATTGATTAAGGAATTATGCATGGAGAGCTTCACGTAGGGTCAGCGAAGTCCCCACAGGGTCACAGCAAAGGCCCTGAGAAGGTGGCATGTACATTCCCTGAATTGTATGAGAGGTCGGAAGGTTTGTCCAGTTGAATCATGAAGCCAGACTGGGTCGCTGTAGAGGCACTATAAAAAACCTTCACAAATCATAAAATGACTCACCTGTCACAGATTTTTGAACTGTAATGCTGCTCAGATCCAGTCAGGTCATCTGCACATCATTGGTGAAGCTGCTTTGCTTTCTTGCCTGCCACTTAGTGAAACGTGAACAGACTTATAGCAATGAACCCCAGTTATAAAATGAAAAATATATGAAAAAAAAACAACAACTTGTTTTTGCATGAGGTCTATTGCATCACTGCATTAGTTTAGTTATTTATTAGCTTTTTTGAATTAGAGGGCCAGTTTTTTTAATCATCCTGTGAACAGATACAGCGGCAGGGTGGGGAGTACACTTGAAGAGAAAAAGATGGCGGGCACACTGTTATATTCTAATCACAGACAACAATAAATAACAGTCACTTATATTTGTAGACAGTTTTATTTTACACCTTTGAATAATTATGCTAAAATCTTTGGACTAATTCCACAAGTGTGTTTGGCTCTCACTCGATTGCCAGATGTTGTAACACAGATTTAACGCATTTCATACATTATGAATATTGAGATTATAACATCTTGTGACTAGTAATATTTACATATTTTACATCTACAATTAAGGTATGAATCTGTGTCCAAATTTTTGCTGCACAGCCCCACTCCTGTTGCGTGTATCTACAATCAGTCAGCGAGAAGTACTGTTTATTTTCAACCGAGGCTGTGTGTTTACATTATGTGGTACAGTATGTGCTGCCCCATTTAAAAAAAAAAAAAAAAAAGCTATCGTGACACAGTTAATGATTATTTGAACTCAGTTCAAAGTCCCAGTGCTTACTGTTCATTTAGGACTGGAAGGCAAACAGACAGTCAGATAATAAGCGGTTTGAATCAAAGCTTGTGACAGTCTGATGGAGGAAATGAAGCAACATTTGTAAAGGTGGTGTCCATTTTTTGCTCTAGATTGGTGCCCTTGTGTCCATTTAAATATTTTACCAAACTTGAGCCATCATTTAATGAGTGACACTTGAATTATAATCAATAGAATTCAATGTTTCCCAGTTTTCTGATTATGTGACAGTGTTCGCATCAGTATTTTTATGCAGTTAATCTGGTTAGAACTGATGTCAACTTTGATTTTATTTCATTAATTTTGTGAAGAGGCAACAACCAAACTCAAAACTTGTTATTTTGATCAATTAAAAAAATGTTTAGATGATTTAAGATTTGAATTGGCCTCAAACCACACAGAGAATTGTGCTGGGAAATAGCGAAATTGGAGTTATGACCGTCTAACTTTACAATGTTGCTGCAGCGCCACCTGTGGCAAGATAACATAGTTGATACGTGCATGTGCCATCTAAATTTGGTTGCAGTTACTCCAAGAATGCCTCACTTTTAACACCCAAGTCCAATTAGTTTTCTGGAAAGGTTCAAGGTGCGTTCGTAAATCCAATCTGATCCACACTAAAATATGAGCCCTGTGGTTAAATGAAAATTAAAAGCACCCAGAGTGTGCTCTGCCACTCTTGAGAATGCAGCACTCTGGATAACCGAATGGTTCTTTCCAACAGCGCTGAGCCTAAATTAAACTGAGACTTTTTTTATTTTAATATCTTGCTAAGTACAAGACCGGACCTAAAACAAACTCCTGGGCAGAGGTAATAATTAGCAGTCACCACAAATGGACCGACTGCACGATGCACACCACCGGCAAATAAAGCTTGATCAAACTGGGCTCCGAATCACACCCCGGCTCAGATTACCGCTCAGGTCTGAGTTTGGTTTATTATTTCAGAGGGGCCATAATCTCCCATCAGTGCGAAGACATGTGAGCGATAATCAGTGAGTTCAGACAGACCAAGTGTAAAAACACCCTGCAAAGTTCTCGTGTGTCGAATGTATGCTGATGCATTTTTAGCTATTTGAACGGCAAAACCTCAGAAGTCCAGATGAATCCACTTTCAGATGTGATGCTTTTGTGACTGTGTATGCAAGTGTATATGTATAATACAGAATAATGTGTATATATTGTATGTTGAGAGATTTACAGGAAGCTACCATGCTCTTTCAAAAACACAGTATTATTTTCTGAGAGATATATTTAGATTCTGTAAGTAATCTACTCTATTGTCAACTGAGTCCAAGACTGATTAAACAATAAACTAACATGGATGTGACCACTCCTTCTTATCTCAATGAAATCTGACAATACTTAGGATGAAAATATGTTGAAACATCTGCTGTGCAGTCCGTTGTTGAAAGGCTGTTTGGTGTGATTAATGCCAAATATCTTTGAAATTGGTGCTTTGTTCCTAAAAAACTGTTCCTTGAAATGGAAAAATACTGTTCTTTACTTTGCTTATTTGAAAAACACCAGTTGCTTGACTCAAGTTTTGCTTTTATCTACAACTTGAGTATGCATGAAAACATTTACTGTTGATTCTAGCTCTTCAACCCTGTGATCAAGTCGGGATGATGGGCAGGTTGCGGAGGTCCATCCCTCCCTACCTCCCTCTGAGCTGCAGCGACAGTCGGAGCGAGGAGGGATGCCACAGCTCTCCTCCTGCTCGCCACACTGCTAACAGCAGATTGCTTGTGGCAAGACCCTTTAACCACGCCACTCTGGGGAAAATAGCAGCGTTCCAGGCATTCTGGGAATTGTTTTGTCTTCTGTGGGTCTGACAGTCCAATACTGCTGCCATTCTCTATGAAAACAATGTTGTGTAGGCTACATCTCATATCAGTGCTGCAGGCTCAGAGTGCATGCAAGAGCTGGGTTACAAAAGAAAAGTGCTGCAACAGGAAGCTAGCAGGGTGAGATGATTAAGTGATAGAGCAATGTGTGAAAATCTGACTTTATGATGAGACGGGTTACAATTAAAGCTCAACAGACTAAGTTAAGATGCCATATTGCAGGGAGGAGTAATAATCCATCAGCTGTTGCTGCTATTAGAGACAGCCCGGGCAACAGGAACATTTGATTGCACAATAGTGTATATTTTCAGCGTCTTAAGAGCCAAAACACAGAGCAAACATAAGAGGTCCAGCAGACGGAGGGGGGAGGAGGTCTTGAATTATATGTACTGCATCTGGAAATGATATGATAATGTAGTGAACTGAACATGGTTGTCATGGTTGCCATTTCCCTTTCCTCTGAGGACCGGAGTTTCACGGGGCTGCACTTCTGTTAGCTAGAGCAAACAACACAAAGAGCACAAAACATCAGTGACTCAGTGTGTTTATGTGCTTCTTTTCATCTTAAAAGCAGGAAGCTAATGACACATCAGAGTCTGACTTATCTAAGATGTTAAACAGCTGGGAAAAACTATGACATCATTAGTCTGTATACACTGTTTACAAGAGGCAGCATACAGTAGGTCTTCTAGCTAGCAATAATCGACCTATAGAGCACCAGGGTGTTTCCTGGTGGGGAACAGTTGCCAGGCAACAAGAAGTGGAGACTCCAGAGGCTGTTTCAACGTTTCCAGCAGGGAAAATACATATTTTATATTTTCCTTGGTTTCCAGTCTTTGTGCTAAACTAAGCTAAGCTAGCTATAGCTTTCTGCAGTAGCCTTATATTCAACAAACAGATATAAGTAGTATCAGTAATCTCATTTCCCCCATAAAGTCAGATAATATTTTAACTTTCAAGAACATAAAAGATGATATGTGGTTTAGATTGTTTGTTAAAGGGACAGTTCACCCCCAAAATCAAAAATACATATTTTCCCTCTTACCTGTAGTTCTATTTTAAATCCAGATTGTATTGGTGTGGGTCGCCGCATGTTGGAGATATCAGCCAAGGAGATGTCTGCCTTCTCTCCAATATAATGGAACTAGATGGCACTCGGCTTGTAATGCTCAAAGCACCAAAAAATACATCTGAAAAACTGAACACTGATTCATCAGTTAGGACTTGGTGTTACAATCCCTAGAGTTTCAGCACACTTAGTGTCAGAGCATAGGTGTTTTGGCCGTGCCCACCCGGCAAAGCCACCCCCCAGCACCTCATCATCATCAGGTGTTTTGGCCTTCATCACAAGACGCCCTCCAATGAGGCTTGCCCATCACAGGCTGATCAGGTCTTGGTGTATGTCAGTAGTTTGGTGACTTCCTGGTCACCCAGGGGCCCAGACAGGATCCTTTCTCTTCAGCCATAGCCGATGACTGCACCTCTCAGCTGTATTGACCAGATACTTAAACCACTTTCCTCTGGGCCTGCCCATTAATCCTGATTTTCTCAAGGAGCCTAGTGGTGGATCTAGCAGCGAAGCCTCTGCAACCCACCTCTATCGGCAGCTCCCCAGTTTTCCAGCCTCTAGTTGCCGCTTCAGTTACGAGGTCAGCGTAGCGCAATCTCTTACGTTCAAACGCCCCCTCCATGGCATCCTCCCAAGGGACAGTTCGTTCTATGAACTTCCAGAAATCATGACCCTGTTACTCAAGATAATCCACAGACCTTGTTGTGAGCAGTTTCATGTAGGAACTTTTTTTTTCAACCAAACTACACCTGCCAACCGTATCACTATGCAGAAGGAAGTGTGCATCTACTCATGAATGAGAGGCTTGTGCTCATGACAGATCAAGATGTAGCCTAAACATTCATGGTGTCCTCCTTGGCTGAGCTGTAACTAGCTTAGTGGTACTAAGTGAGCTAGCAGTAGATGCATGCTTTCTTCTGATACAGTTGGCAGGTGTAGTTCAGTAGTAAGAAAATTGTTCCTACATGAAACTGCAGACATCTCTATGACCGATATCTCCAACACTGGACAACTCACACCCAAGGAATCTAGATTGGTAAATAGCGCTACAGGTAAGAGAGAAAATGTGTGTTTTTGATTTTGGGATGAACTATCCCTTTAATAGTAAACTGTGTATAAAAGTAAAGGTTTTGCATTATTTTCCTGAGGTTGCACTGAGTCGAAGAAATGTACCAGGAAAAGCTCTTAACTGTGCGAGCATCTGTCTGGGAATGGAGGTAAAGCTGACGGAGCACAGTTTTTAATGTGCTACATTAGTCTTAATGTTGTTTTTCTCCTTCAGAGGTTGAGCCAGACCAAAAGTATGAGAGTCAACTTGAGCCCAACATACAGCATTGAACATCAGACCACCTATGTAGCCAGAACATTTGGCTTGTGGCTTCAAATGTTTTATCTGGCTGTCAACCAGATTTCACACACACACACACCCTCAGACCACCGTTGTTTTTCTTTATGTGGGTCAAATTGGGCTGCAGAATGTAAAGACGAGAACGAGGCGAGACAGGTTACAGTTAGTGTTTTAGAAATCTGTCTCACACTGTGATCCAGGGTGTCAGAGAGAATAAAAGCCTTGAAAGAGGAAGAGAGTAAAAGTGCCAGACCCCTAGAGAATGAATAATATTTGAGTGATAATGGAAAATGCAAATAGAATAGGTTGGAAATTTTTAGAGTTCACACTGGAAAGAGACTTGGGGGAATGATTCAATGCAAATAAGACATAGGGAGATCAAATAGAAAAGATCTCGTCATGGTTTCGATCCCAAGCTGGATTTAACCAAAGGCTAATAACACAGATAAAACAGGTACAACGTATTGAACATATTACTGCCCTGCATCTTAAACATACTGAACAGCTATTTCCCCAGTGTTGCCCCACCATATGGATCCTACAGAACAAAGCAGAGACTTCAGGAAGTAGCCTCCATCTTTGATCCACCACATCACTTCAGCTCTGGGGAGACAAGTGGACCGGGGCAGATGCTTTAAAAACAACCCACCCTTTCTCCCCTGCCAGTTCAGTTTTTCTTTTTTCTTTGCTTTTCCTCTTCAGAAATGGGAGAATTAAAAAAAAAATACACTAACAATAAAATTCCAGCATCAGCTAAATATCAAACATGGCCCTTGAAGGAGTGCAGAGGAGCTGGACTGCGCAGGATGTTCCACTCAGAGGTTGTGGTTGTGGCTGAGGGAGATGTTGGATGGAGCCAGAAGCACATCAGACTGGTAAGTGGAGGCAGATGATGGTGTTGTACCCTCCCCTCCTCCTACTCCAGACCTCCCACTTTCACTTCCCCCCAACCACAAGTAGTTAAACCCCACAACTTCCCATTAACAGCACTGGTAATGTTGTCTTGTTGATTAGATGTCAATGGGTGGGAGGTATTGTTTTTTTTTTTTGTTTTGTTTTTTCATGGGGATAGCAGCTTTTCATACCAAAACAAACAAAAAAAAAAGTTATCATAATAATTTGTTGTCACAGTTCTAGTGTGATTTCGTGGTTATCATAATAAAAAACCAAGGCCAAAATAAATGTTGGATTCCCCTCGCAATTCACCGTACAATTCAATTATTTAGCCTTCAGTCACTCCATCAGTCATCTCTCACAGTCAGCCAGGGCTTGTGCTGGGATGTTCACATTTTCCTCACCTTGCCAATTCACAGTTTATGCCAGTGGGCCACCCAGTGGACATAAAGAGGAAGTGCATCCTCTCCAACCATCAGCAAATAAATCCAGTTAAAAAGGTCACAAAGGAAGTAGCATGTAAATCCATAGAGATCACGGCCAGTCTAGAAGGCAGGAGATGATGTGCTCACTTTTTTTTAGCCATGTACCTGCCAGAAAACAACATAAAACAGACCAATCCGCCGCCATAAATTTTGCTGCAACACAGCTTGCTGTTTCTTCAAGTGATTTATATCACCCCTTCACATCATCATCATCATGCATAATTTCACCCATTGTTAGCACATGCAAGATCCTTTTTCTGGAAGTACATTTTCCAGATGTGGTTCACTGTTTGGTTAACTTGACGTTACCTTAATTAATCAGTTCCTTGGAAGGGATTCAAGTCCATGGAAATCCTGGAATTAGTCGGTGTCACAGCTCCCATTTTTTGGCCTGCTTTGTGTCTTTAGGTAGGTTATGACATATGTACAGTTTAGTTGACTGTTAAATCTATGTCTAAGATCCATGTTCCCAGTCTTACCTGCTTTGCTTGAGAGCTGCATTTGACTAATACTCACTTCATTAACTTGGTCTCATTTCACACCATCACTTTTCATTGAAATATGCACACTCTCCTCCTTTTCTTCCCTCTTCTCTTTGAGTCTCCAGCACCTTTCCACTAGACTGACCAACACATCCCCACTTTCCCCTTATCTGTGTGAAGTCATGCGGACCGAATAACTGAGATTTCAGGTAGCTGAGAGAAAATCACACAAATCTGGCTCGCTGGGTGACCCCGGAGCTCTCGTCTCTCTTCATCTCAGCTGCTGAATCGACTCTCCACCATGACTAAAACCTTCTCCTTCTAACTCACTGCTACATTTCTCAATGCTCCCTCTCCTGTCAAAAACCCAAACTTGTTTGTGCCATCAGGGCCACCAGCTGCCGCACTGACCCTGCCCGCTCCTTCACACCATCACTGCTGCTCTGCCGCGCCATTTCTTGATTACCAAAATCAGCTTCTCCAAGACACGAGGCGGTGCGCCATCTGCACTCTAATTAGCAAGAGGTACCTCACCTCTCCAAGATGAAGCCGGCGCTTGACCCATCTGTCAGATGATGCCTTCATTGTCTCACACTTAAGCATGATTTCAACTATCATGAGCCCAACTATGCTACGGCAGAAACTGTGATCCTTTAGGTCATTAAATCCCTCCACATAGAACAGTTTTCTCACTTCGCCCTCAGTCCTGTTTGGCTTTCTTTATCATATCTTCAGCATTTTGAGTCCCCAGATGTGTCTTGTCCTTGCTTACTGGAGAGCTATACACAGGAGTATATACATTCTTGTGTTACCTGACTACCAGGAGAGCATTAAGAGCAATAAAACCGGACTGGACTGGATACAGCCAAGACATCAACTAGCTCAGTGGCAAACACTTTGGGAAAAGACTGCCCAGTCCCAGTGATGAAACATGACTTTTTTCTCCATGCAGATGTTCAGACTGTTGGCACACTTGTGAAATGAGTAGTAGCACTGGCAGGGTATTGACAGTTTAAGTAGACCGCCTTATTGCAAGGGTGCATTGAATATATGAAGAAGCAAGTAGAGTCAATTTTGTAGAAGTCGTCTGCCTGAACTAACTGACAGGCATCACTTGACTGAAACTTTTCAAAAGCTGTCTCTGTAATCTGTAAATGCTAAATTGTACGTACCATCGTACCATGAACCCTGTCCATCATATTCCAAATTTCAGGTGTGGACCTTAAGAGTGCTGCTGTGACCTGCCCTGTCGTCAAACTCCTCGAATGCACTTACTCCACTGGCTCTCTGTTGTTGTTTGTGTCACATTCAAAGCCCTGGAGCTAGTGCACAGCGCTGCCAAAGGAGCTGCAACCCCAAACCTCTAGGCAATGATCCAGCCTTGGCCTTGACTTCACTCTGCCCTCTGGGCTGTCTATGGATGAAATGACCTTATCACCATGTGAAGACCTCAGAGTCACATTCTGTCTTTTGGAGGCAGACTGACAATCATAGTTAGATACCTCTTTTTTTTTGAGTGATTTCATTTAATTTTATATGATATAAATTTTATTCTATTTTATTTTATTTTGTTATTATTTTTATTTTTATTTTATTCACACACACAAGACTTCAAAAAAATCCAAATAATAAATCTAAAAAATAAGAAATATATCAGAAGAGGTCAGGAAGATCAGGAAGACCTCCCCTCAATTTAAAAAAAAAACAAATAAGTGAAATTTAGAAAAAAACAGAAGAAAAAAATGTAGAAAAATACCAAAACAAACAAAATGAGCACACCCACACACACTCACCGAGAAATAATTAGAGTTTGCAGCTGCACATCATTTGGGAATAAATATACTCAGCCTTAATAAAAGTGGGCCTATGATGTCAGTAGATTATGTAACTGACAGTTATGGCATTTAAATGAACTGTATTGTCTCAGATGATTTATTTTAACAACTATGCTTTGATATGATGCAGCCTACTTAATATCAGTATGTAAGCCTATAGCTTTGTTGTAGCAGATGGTTATTGTATGTCTGCAATTATTGCAGGCATCTGCAGTTAATGTCCCCCTGCTATCAAAGAGACACTACACTAGCCAACACCACATCAAATAGGTCTCCATAGCCACAGTTTGGACGCACAGATTAGTCCAAATTATGTTAATGTGGCCAGAAGCAAAGAGTCTGTTCTGTCTCCTGCTTATTGAGCGTGAAGGCTCACAGTTCCTCAAGCCTCATCTGGGTGTAATTGTAGTATTGAGAATGAGCAGTAAATAAGACGGGGTCATTCTCTTTTTGTTGTGTGTAGGAATCAATAATCGATACACATCAGTGGATGAACTATTCTCAGATAAATAAGAAAGGTCATGTGCGGTGTGTTTACACGGCCTTTAAGGCTAAGAGCCAGACAACCCAGGTGAGCAAATACTGCAAAAAACATATAAGTGGTTTCCATGACAACGCAACCTGGTGGAGGCAAACTCCACACTACTTATTTGCTGTCCAAACTTTCCTTTGTGTTAAAGTCAGCTCTCGGCCCCTTCAGTTCCCGGATCTTTGTAGATGCACAGCCGACACCTGGAATCACAAACTGGGAAGAAGAAGAAGAAAAAAAAGAGGCAGAGGAAGAGGGAATCTGATGAAGCATGGTGACAAACCATGGGCGACAGATCATCTCTTGCCTTTCTGTCTCTCCCGCCCTCCTCTCCTCTCCAGACAGGGTTGGGCCAAACAGCAGGTGGTGCAGAAGAGAAGCCCGGACATGGGATATACAAATCTCTGGCTCTCAGACTTCTGCACCGGACAAGCATGGAGAAGCAACAAATCCCAAAATTTATAAAGTAAGTGCTGCTTTTGACATCCTTGCTGCTATTTGTGGTTGTATGTATAGTGCTATGTTATTTTTAAGATTTAAAAACAAGGACACTGCACTGAAGTGATAAGTGATGCACTAAATATAGTCTGTGTAGTTGCTAATTTACAGTTAATAGAGTGCCTGTTTAATTTCAGCATGGATGGGGCAGTCTCTCATGTCTTGGGTTGCATAATGAGTCGTATATTATGTCATCAACTAGCTCTTTATCTCGCTTCATTACACGTCTGGAGTGGCTGTTTGTAGTTTCCTGGAGAGCACTTGTACATAATTTCAGGTCTCACTGATTTTGGTGGAACATATGCAGATCAAAACGAGCTCAGAGCTGTGCCAAAAATCTGTTTTTTGTCATATTCTGCTCTGACATAACAAAAGGATACCTAAGGACACAGATATCAAATAGACTAAACAAGATCTGGTGGCTGGGTTATTTCAGTGACAGGAATATTTGATTTTGAACCCTGACAATTAAAAACAAAAGAGAGGTTGCTGCTCCTGCTGTGATAATGATTGTGTATTCATGGGAGGATGTAAAAACTATGTCAGATATTGTCTCCAGCCTACACATTTTTGCTTTCATGTACACGCACGCTGTATTTGTGCTGAATTAATTGCTGTGAAGACAATGTGTTAATAAGAATGCATTAATATTGCAGAGGGTGTCCTCTGGAGGAAATAAAACCCTCAGGGCTGTGAATCACTGCTAAAGGTCATGTTTGCCAAACAGAATACAGTCTTTGCTGAGGAGAATCTGAGATTTTGGGGCCTGGAAACTATCAACCAAGGAGGAGCATAGCTAATGTAACAGCTTCCAGTGGAAAAAAATTCTAAAAGTCTCTGCGTTATATACATTGACTGAGTGTAATAGCGCTTTGGTAAATGTTAATGACAAATATGTTTTCATCTCGCCAATCAATAGTCATCACGTCTGGGAGAGCTGTTTCAAGTGAGCCTGGATTGGCTGAGGATTTCTAAGGAGGATTTCAATGCATCTCTTTAAGTCTGAATCTTGAATGTTAATGCGCTCACCTATTGACTGCCATCCATTTAAGACCCTTTTACTTTCTCTTCAAAGCAGACTTGTGTCGTTTTCATTCTTGATCTTAAGATTTTGAAGGTTTTTTTGTGTTAAGTGAAGCAAGCTCTTAGTTATTCTCATTTAACTGCACATAAATTTGCTGCTTTTTCAGGTAGGTGCACCTAATTCTCTTTGCGTTCTGATTTTTTTCTTCTTCTCTCCTTTCCACAGCTCAGGTGTCACAGCAATAGCGTCTCTGGCCAAGGCTCGCTGAATAAAGATGCACATGGACTTGGGGAGACAAAGCAGATGACTCAAAGGAGGAGAAAGAAGTCCACTCCCTGATCCCAGGACCACAGTTTGTGATGATGTGAGTCATCAGGTTACCAAGGCCAAAGGCGATATCTTTCAAGACATGGAGGCGATTCTGCTTTGTGTCTGGACTCTGTTGGTAGATGGACCTTGATGGCAACATGAGGTCAAAGAAACTGTAACTGTTTTGTTCTGCTCACCTGACTTCTGTCAGCATGCCAACATAGCATAGATGATTCACCCTTTAAAGAGACACAACTGGGAGCTAACAGGGTCTTACGATGTAGCAGCTACAGGTGACTTGTATGTGGCCGATGATTCGAGACAGTCCAACCACAGTCAGTATGGAAGTGCAGACAGCCTCTCTGGTTTGGATATATGTTAACAGTACAGAACAACTGAACACTTCTTATGAGTACAACGCAACAGATTGGATCGAAGACCCAGACAGATACCATTCTTACATTATCGGTCTCTTCCTGTCCTGCCTGTACACCATCCTCCTCTTTCCTATTGGATTTATTGGGAACATTTTAATCCTGGTGGTGAACCTGAACCACAGAGATAAGATGACCATCCCCGACCTTTACTTTGTTAACCTGGCTGTAGCTGACCTCATCCTGGTGGCGGATTCCCTCATCGAGGTCTTCAACCTGAATGAGAAGTATTACGACTACGCCGTCCTCTGCACCTTCATGTCCCTGTTCCTGCAGGTCAACATGTACAGCAGCATCTTCTTTCTCACGTGGATGAGCTTCGACCGATACATCGCCTTGGCTAGCTCCATAAGCAGCAGCCCGCTGAGGACTATGCAGCACGCCAAGCTCAGCTGTAGCCTCATCTGGATGGCCTCCATCCTAGCCACCCTTCTCCCCTTCACCATTGTGCAGACCCAGCACAGGGGTGAGGTGCACTTCTGCTTTGCCAACGTCTTTGAGATTCAGTGGTTGGAGGTCACCATTGGCTTTTTGGTGCCCTTCTCCATCATTGGCCTGTGCTACTCTCTGATTGGGCGGATCCTCATGAGAGCCCAGAAGCACCGTGGATTGTGGCCACGGCGGCAGAAGGCCCTGCGTATGATCGTGGTGGTGGTTCTGGTGTTCTTTATCTGCTGGCTGCCAGAGAACGTCTTCATCAGCATCCAGCTGCTGCAGGGCACAGCTGACCCTTCGCAGAGGACTGCTACCACTCTGTGGCATGACTACCCGCTCACAGGCCACATCGTTAACCTGGCAGCTTTCTCCAACAGCTGCCTCAACCCCATTATCTACAGCTTTCTAGGAGAAACCTTCAGGGACAAGCTGCGTCTCTTCATTAAGCAGAAGGCCAGCTGGTCAGTAGTGAACCGCTTCTGCCACCACGGCCTGGATTTACACCTCCCTGTCAGGAGCGAAGTGTCAGAGGTGTGACTGTAAAGAAGAAAGACAATAGTTATAAAACTGATTCCAACAAAATATGCTATAACATCTTTTACATCAAAGTGATATATCACCCAGTGTGGTACATGACCTCTGCTTTCTTCATCTGTTTTGTAGCTTTGCCTCATAGTTGTACCCATGTCTCAGTTAACCTGCTCACTTTCTGAACAAAAACACAACACCACCAAGAATGTACACTCAAAGAAAGATGAAAATGACTGGATGTGTGTATCCCTTTAAGTAGATAACAATGCAAACACTGTTTTAAAGCTATTTTCATGTTTATCTGCACGTTGGATTGTTTTCTTTCAGTGTATTTGGTGTGTTATTTCTTCAAAAAGTTAGCTGGATGGCAAGGCAGGCGACAGTTAATCAAAATGTCAGCATCTACCCTTCAAGTACAGCAAGTGGGCCAAGATTACCAATGGATAGATGAGTGTCACAGGAGAGCAGCATAATGAGTCATTTTACATTGTTGGCATTGTCACCTCAAAGCAAGAGGGTTCCTGGTTCGAGCTCAAGGTGGGGGGGTTCGAACTCTAGGGTGGGGGAGCCCTTCTGTTTAGAGTTTGCATGTTCTCCTTGTGTCAGCGTGGGCTTTCTCTGGGTACTCCAGCTTCCTCCCACAGTCCAAAGACATGCAGGTTAATTGGCAACTCTAAATTGTCCGTAGGTGTGATTGTGCGCATGAATGGTTGTCTGTCTCTATGTGTCAGCCCTGTGATAGTCTGGCAGCCTGTCCAAGGTGTACCCTGCCTCTTGCCCAATGTCATCTGGGATAGGCTCCAGCCCCCCCATGACCCCTAACAGGATAAACTCTTATGGAAAATGAATGAAAAAAAAAAGGATCCACAATGCAAATCTTCCAGAACATTTTCTGGGTATGTGGGATGACCTGTAGAGAAAGAAAAGGCTGTGTCACAGTGCTGTAGCCTAGAGCACCTAGACCGAGACAAAGTCATGACCAAGACCAGACCAGTTTGAGTCCCACGCTGCATGACGCACACGCTAAGATCTTGACGACAACACTGTCACAGCTACAGCAGCACGCATGTCAGTTTCATCTTCAAGAGAGGAGTCATCTCAGTTAAAACCCACATGTACTTTCAAAAACATCATCCACATCAACACCATCATGACAGCCCATGACTAAACAACTGCTCTGATCTGTTAAGTAGTAACAACGTAACAAGGATATAAGTTAGGGAACAAAATCTAAGACGCAGCAAGAAGCACTTTTCACTGTCCTAGTCTAAGATATTACTGTACCTCTTGCTTTGTGTATTTCAGCTAAGATTGTTTTTCTTCTGTTGAAAGAAATGGCATTATGTATAGCTCATCATTCATTGGACAATGCAAACAAATGTGTTATATTTTTAGAAATAAAGAAAATGTTCCACTTTTCTGGGAATGTGAAGGGGAAGCTGTTGAGAAATGTGTTTCTTAGATTTCAAAAAGACCAAACGACATTTTTCATAGCTAGTTTTGTACATGTCCTCAAGTATTATATAGAACTAATAAGGGGTAACGTAGCTACACCCTTTGTTTCTTACTTATTATACTGGAGGTTTTGATCACAGACATACTATGAGGTGAATTAAGAACATATAATATATGTTTTTGTGAGATTAATCTGCAGAATCTGATGTTTCACTTGATACTGTGGTTAATGCAGGAGTCAGTGGTTCCTTATTTCAAAGATGGCTGAGTTATTACCCCACTTGTCAGCTCCTGTTAGCATGATGCCAAAGCAAAGAGGCAGGTGTTGTTTTGCCAGGAGGGAATGAGACTGGGTAAACACATCATTCAATGTTGACAACGTGAAGCCGCTTAAATCTTTCAATCTCCATCTTTAACAGATATTAGCTTGATATACAGCAGCGGCCGACCCTAGATGTAAGATGTGAGGGCCTATTACACAGAATTGTCCACGTAAAACACACGTCATCTGCATATTTGTGGCTTGCTTTTCTGCATGTAAACTGATTCCACTTCTTTTGAATTTAATTAATGCAAATGCTAAAATGGGACACATGACATACATATTTTGATCCCGTAGACCGTCACTGGACGTGTGGATTCTCTTACTGACACTTAGAGCTTGGTAAAATGCGTCAGACAGAGCAAAGATGCTCATTAACACATGATCACAGGTTAATATAATGGAGATTACCAGGCTACACAGACGCAGCTTAAACATTTTAAAGTTTATTCCATTAGAAGCTCAGTAGTGGAGGGTTTAATGAAACCTGCCATAAAATTTTACAGCCCCAAACTGTTTGTTAACCTGTCAGAGCCAACATTATAAATTCTTCTCCTGTATTATTGCACATCTTTCTTAAATTCAGTGGTGCTCACAGTTATCTGTATTATATGAACTACAACAGAGAACGTTGCCTTTGATATTTACATTTTTACAAAGAGCATGCGCAACAGGTTCTGTGCATTAGGAATGCTAAAGAGGTGGATGTATTATGTAGCAATGACACAAAGAGTACAGGACACTCTGCCACGCCTAGGTGGAGGATTGTACATCAGTGCATAAAATCTGTGCATTGCCAGCCTGCGGTGGGCCTGAGCTGTGTTTGTGCATGAGGCAGCCGGAGATAATGGCGTGACTGGGAAAAACAGGAGTCCAAACCACAAACTGTTATTCCAGCTGTAACCGTCCCAGCTGCCTGGGAAAGCAGCGCTCAGGATTTCTGTGAGTGATTGTTTATTAGAGGTCTGCAAAAATGCTGAACTTGTTGTGACGCATATGAAAGATTCTTTTTGCATGATGTGTCCATCACATTATTCTATGTCCCATATCTTTACGGTGCAGGAAAGCATTCAGCATGTTCTGCTTTTCAAATTATATCTTACAAAACCTTGACAAAGGCAGGTTTAAGCATAACTTACATAAATACATATGGCAGCACATGGCTGTATCAGAACAACAGTGGGCACAAAGACAGGGAGACAGGGAAATAATAATCCAATGAGAGCTGTCAAGCTCACTGAGATAAACAAGCAACACCTAGACACCAGGACCGAGACCCTCGAGGAGGCAAAAAAAAATTATCTCTACATCACACACACACACACACACACACACACACACACACACTGAAGATGCTGTGAGAAGAGGTTAACAGTGGACTGTGTGTACAGCTGAGACTACTGAGGAAGGTTAAAGGTTTGTGGTGACTGACGTCACAGCAAGGAAAAAGGGTGTGACTTTTCCCCCTGCTTACATTCAGTACTTCCTCTCGGTGATGCTGGATTAAACAATGAGTTTGTGAGCAACAAAGCCATCCGTTCAGGAAACAATACTTTCGGCTGTTCATGTATAATACTGGGCGAATGTTCACGCAACCAAATGATGATGAAAATGTAATCTAGGATCAAAAAATTAATAATTTTTCAGGCATAAAAGCATATTTTATTCACTGTACCTCTGCTTCTGTTGCTCAAAGACACCAAAATGCAAATACACACAGAGTGACCACTTCATTAGGTGCAAAACAATGTGATAATGCACAAAAGTAAAAGAAAATGAATGGCTCAGTGTTCCATTTTGATCAGAGAGGTGCTGATTCAACTCTTTGGAGTTTTGCATGATGTTGAAAAATGTTTCTAATGTTTTGTCCCTCTCATGCGTCTTAATGAGGATGGAAAAACATTAGAAATGTCTTTTAATACTGCATAAACAAGTCTAAATTAAATCAACACCTTTCTGGCACCTCAAAAGCTACTATTGTATTGGATTATATTATCTTTAATGGATTTATCTATTGAACTGGTACCTAAATTTAAATTCAGCTCCCAATTCTTTATCTACTGAACATGTCCAGGTTTGAACTTTTCATGACGTCACATCACAGGCTGTGCGAGAAACCAAAGAAAGCAAAATAAAGTTCTACATGAAGGTGAACACCTTTAAAATGTTCCTTGCATAAGAAAGGTGCTGGCCACTATTCAAGTGTAAGATGAGTGGGGGTGGGGCATGTCAAAGTAATTACAACAGGATAGTCCAGGGTTTATGCATAATTACAAGGCAGTGCACTCGGTGGACCTCAGCAGCTGAATAATGGATTAGACGTATAATTGCATTTGTAAATTAAAATCCCTTACAGGAAAAAAAGAGGTGAATAGAACAGATTAGCTTCCTAGATACAGAAGGGAAGAAAAAAGGAATTGGGGATTGACATGAAGACTCCATCAAAGTGCTTATTGCCAATATATTGTATTTGTCTTGTATTTGTATTGTCATTTTCCCAAAAGACATCACACTTACTTTATCAGTCATTCTACAAAGCACTTTATAATTAACACATGCTTTATAAAGTAAAGTGGAATTACTATAGAACAGTTATATTTAGCACACACCTGTATGCTAAATGCAGTATGTATCGGCCTAATAGATGTAGATCCCTGAGGTAAAAACATGTAAAACAAACAAAAAGGAGGAGCAGGCTTTATCACAATATTCAAAGCTATATGCTTCACAGAAGACATGTGAGGCTTTGCACATTTCCCCCCCTCCACCACAAACACCTTCACTTTCATTAGAGCTGTGATTTTCACAAGTGAGGTGCTCAAACGTGAACGCAAAGCACAGTCAGAGATTCTCACAAAGATAATTCAGTATACAAATTACAATGCAACGTGTGAAAGCTTTTCTTATTTGAGAAATTCTCAAGTAGAGAAATTGTTGTTTATGTTCTTTTTCATTCAATAGTTGCATGATCTTTGTTGTTGTTTATGCCACTGTTTCAACATTTTAAATTCTATTTTTTTTCCTTCACATGGTAAGTCATTGCATAATTGCAAATGTTTTGTTGAAGAAGATGACAGAAAACACAGTTGTGCAGGATACTGGTACCATTTCATTGGTCTCTGATGCATTATCTTCAAGAGCCGAGTTGTTAATTTTAAATAGGCTGTAACTATTATAGGCCAAAAAAAAGAAAGAAAGAAGTGAAATAAAATTTTCAAAATTTTTTTTTGTATTACTCCTCCAGATTCATAGGCTACTGTAGACAATAGTTTGAGAAAAATTAAATTGCTATTTTTATTTATTTTTATTTTTTTAAAAATTAATCCATTTTTGTTTTATTTTATTTTTTATTTTTACTGATCACATTATTCCCTAGAACACAGCCTATAAATTTAATGTATTTTTTTATTTTATTTTATTTCATTTTTTTGGTGACTGAGTGAAAATTTCTATAGGCCTAGATTTTTTTTATTGATCACCTTATTCCCTAGAACACAGCCTATAAATTTAATTTAATTTTTTTTTCATTTTTATTTTATTATTATTTTTTTTTATTCTATTTTATTTCTTTTTTTTTTGGTGACTGAGTGAAAATTTCTATAGGCCTAGATTTTTTTTATTGATCACCTTATTCCCTAGAACACAGCCAAAATTTTAATTTAATTTTTTATTTTATCTTATTTATTTTTTTATTCTATTTTATTTCTTTTGTTTTTTTTTTTGGTGACTGAGTGAAAATTTCTATATGCCTTATTCCCTAGAACACAGCCTATACATTTAATTAATTTTTTTTATTTCATTTTTATTTTATTTTATTTATTTTTTTTATTCTATTTTATTTCTTTTTTTTTGGTGACTGAGTGAAAATTTCTATGGGCCTAGATTTTTTTTTACTGATCACCTTATTACCTAGAACACAGCCTATAAATGTAATTAATTTTTTGTTTTTACATTTTATTTCATTTTTATTTTATTTTATTTTTTTTATTTTATTCTATTTTAATTCTTCTTTTTTTGGTAACTGAGTGAACATTTCTATAGGCCTAGATTTTTTTTATTGATCACCTTATTCCCTAGAGCACAGCCTAAAAATTTAAGTGTAACTTCTATGATCTTTGACATAAAGGGTAGGATTTCCTCATTTTTATGATTTTTGCAGCAAAATTCCTTTATTTCATTTCAAATGCATATTTACTAACAATAAAAACAGCACATTCACGCAGAAGGTGTGTTCATATATACACTGCTCAAAAAAATAAAGGGAACACTTAAACAACATAATGTAGCTCCAAGTCAATCACACTTCTGTGAAATCAAACTGTCCACTTAAGAAGCAACACTGATTGACAATCAATTTCACATGCTGTTGTGCAAATGGAATAGACAACAGGTGGAAATTATAGGCAATTAGCAAGACACCCCCAATAAAGGAGTGGTTCTGCAGGTGGTGACCACAGACCACTTCTCAGTTCCTATGCTTTCTGGCTGATGTTTTGGTCACTTTTGAATGCTGGCGGTGCTTTCACTCTAGTGGTAGCATGAGACGGAGTCTACAACCCACACAAGTGGCTCAGGTAGTGCAGCTCATCCAGGATGGCACATCAATGCGAGCTGTGGCAAGAAGGTTTGCTGTGTCTGTCAGCATAGTGTCCAGAGCATGGAGGCACTACCAGGAGACAGGCCAGTACATCAGGAGACGTGGAGGAGACCGTAGGAGGGCAACAACCCAGCAGCAGGACTGCTACCTCCGCCTTTGTGCAAGGAGGAACAGGAGGAACACTGCCAGAGCCCTGCAAAATGACCTCCAGCAGGCCACAAATGTGCATGTGTCTGCTCAAACGGTCAGAAACAGACTCCATGAGGGTGGTATGAGGGCCCGATGTCCACAGGTGGGGGTTGTGCTTACAGCCCAACACCGTGCAGGACGTTTGGCATTTGCCAGAGAGCACCAAGATTGGCAAATTCGCCACTGGCGCCCTGAGCTCTTCACAGATGAAAGCAGGTTCACACTGAGCACATGTGACAGACGTGACAGAGTCTGGAGATGCCGCGGAGAACGTTCTGCTGCCTGCAACATCCTCCAGCATGACCGGTTTGGCAGTGGGTCAGTAATGGTGTGGGGTGGCATTTCTTTGGGGGGCCGCACAGCCCTCCATGTGCTCGCCAGAGGTAGCCTGACTGCCATGAGGTACCGAGATGAGATCCTCAGACCCATTGTGAGACCATATGCTGGTGCGGTTGGCCCTGGGTTCCTCCTAATACAAGACAATGCTAGACCTCATGTGGCTGGAGTGTGTCAGCAGTTCCTGCAAGATGAAGGCATTGATGCTATGGACTGGCCCGCCCGTTCCCCAGACCTGAATCCAATTGAGTACATCTGGGACATCATGTCTCGCTCCATCCACCAACGCCACGTTGCACCACAGACTGTCCAGGAGTTGGCAGATGCTTTAGTCCAGGTCTGGGAGGAGATCCCTCAGGAGACCATCCGCCGCCTCATCAGAAGCATGCCCAGGCGTTGTAGGGAAGTCATACAGGCACGTGGAGGCCACACACACTACTGAGCCTCATTTTGACTTGTTTTAAGGACATTACATCAAAGTTGGATCAGCCTGTAGTGTGTTTTTCCACTTTAATTTTGAGTGTGACTCCAAATCCAGACCTCCATGGGTTAATAAATTTGATTTCCATTGATAATTTTTGTGTGATTTTGTTGTCAGCACATTCAACTATGTAAAGAACAAAGTATTTAATAAGAATTTTTCATTCATTCAGATCTGGGATGTGTTATTTTAGTGTTCCCTTTATTTTTTTGAGCAGTGTATAAAGGAATCAGCTGTAACAAACCAGAGGACATAAACAGTCTCTGAGGTGTGTGTGTGTATCTGTCTCCCCTCTGCAGCGCCCCCTGCATCAGTGTTTGCACTGTGCGCTGGCGTGCAGGAGGCGGACGTGTTGTGCATGCACGCGAGCAACAGATCCGAGCGCATGCGCAATTCATTGTTTTGACTGAAAATGCCGTCGGTTTCGAAAACGGCGGCCAATGCGTCTCCTCAAACCGAGAAACCTACCCACTATACGTGAGTAAAGCTGCAGCACAGAAACAACTAAATCACTCGTCGTGGAAAAAGCCACTCGCACGTGCACCTACGCGCGTGTGCATTTCTTGCATTCCTCAACTCTTGTGTGTGCGTGTAAAACATGGTGCTTTTCCAGGCTTTGTGACTAACCTAACGTCACATAGCAAACAGCGACTGCACGCTAACGACAGCAGCCCTAATGTGGGAAACACGGACGTCTTAAATCGCTTAATTGACGCGCGAGGCGTTCACGGAGTCTTTTACAAATGTTTCACGGAGTTGGGGAAGTGTTTTGAATATTCCGTTGAACGTTACACCGTCAACTTGGTCTGCTAAATGATTAGCCAGGAACTCGCTAACCAGCCTGCTTGTAAATAGCTCGGCCTTATTTTGAGTTCCCTCTTGCTACGCACATTTATAGACGTACGCTCAGGGACTTTCAACCAGCGCTACGTCGAAACCTTTACGTAGCCCGCTCTGTGAATAGCGAGCTAACGCTAGTGACCCAAAATATATAGTAGGCTACACCACTAGCTGCACAACACGACACATTACTGTCTGTGAACTTTTTCCAAGCCTTCGACTTATCCCTCAGCTAAAAGTCGCTTTAAACCCCGCTTCTTTTTACTATATGTGTTTGTTTCTCCTTTGTTTCAGATACTTGAAGGAGTTCAGGACAGAGCAGTGCCCGTTGTTCCTCCAGCACAAGTGTACGCAGCACAGACCCTTTACGTGCTTTCACTGGCATTTTCTCAACCAGCGGAGAAGGAGACCCATCAGGAGGAGAGACGGGACGTTTAACTACAGCCCCGACGTGTACTGCACGAAATACGACGAGACCACAGGCATCTGCCCAGATGGAGATGAGTAAGTCCCAGTTTCATTACATTGGCACTGTGTAATGGTGCAGCTGCAGACTGATGACTGGTGTTGTGCTGATCTGTTTGGGATGAGGGCCACTGCAGATCAGAACTTGAATCAAAGCAGTGCCACAGAAATATATATAGGTGTTTGTGTGTCCTTGTAATGGCTTTGGGCTGTGGTGTGTCTTCACTGGGAGGAAATCTGTGGAAATGCCTCAGGTTCTTTGTTTAAGTTGCACTGCAGTGCTTCATATACTGGTTTTTACACTGACTGAAAAAAACTTTGCAACTTAAAGAGACCAAGGAGTTACTGCTATGCACTGTAGCTAACTGTGCTTTGGTGATGTTTGCAGCAGGGGGCTGAAAGCATGTGTTTTTATTTATTATGTTAGTGCATTTTGAGGCAAATTCTTACAGATAAAAACTCAATCTTAATCTAGCCAGTTTGCTGTGGCTATAGTAACATAAATATGTCAGATAAACACACTCTTTGTTCATTTCAAATGTGTTTTATTTGAGCGTGTTGACATATAACCATATAAATGAGCATGCACTTTATAAAGATACACATATACATGCATTGTAATATGCGTCGTCCCATTTTCTTTGAGCGTAAGTGTACTCAAGAGTAATATGCTCTTTGTTTAATGGCATATGTGCACATCAGCTCAACTAGGCCTGAATGGAGGTTATTAACTGCCACTTGCGGAAGTTTATTTTGAAATGACCGCCAAGAAATGACTGTGTGCTTTTGTAGTCAAACTGTTCTTGCACTAAAGAGCGATCTAAAGATAAGGTGGGAAACTGGTTATTCTTCACTCAAGTGAGGAGTGCAATGTGAAGAATATGAGGCTATTTTGTAGTTAACTTATTTACGCAGAAAGATGGAATTTGGTTGGTGGTTCCATGCTGAGCTGTATTTATTACTAAGTGTTCCCTATGTGAAAGGTGTGATGTTGCTGCAGATATTGGCAGCGTGTTGCAGTAATATGGCATGGGCCACTTCTTTGCCCTTTGTGTTGCTGCATGCACGTGGAGTATGTACCAAAATTAACACCCTTAATGTGGCCTGACCGCGCCTCTTTGGCTGGTTGTCGTTGGGTGCCCTCCAGCATTACATTCTGGTTCTGCTGTTATTTTCAGCTAATGGAACCATGTGAGTTGATGTATAAACATGCCTCATATTTTAAAAAATCTGTTCCCAATAGTGTCCCTATAATAAGAATTTGTGTTTTTCTTATAGTGGCTATTGTTTTGCACATAGCATCATTAGTCATCGCAGGGGAGAGTGGTTTCTAAACAATTTGTGACAGACTTGTGGCTTTAGAGGAGTCAAAGCATGATTTTAAGTATGGACCAAACTGTCAAGTTGCACAGAAACCAGATATGTGAATTCTCAAAAGGGGTGGCAGCCTCTCAGTGTGACTGGGAATTAAAACTGGCACGGCATTTAATTGAGCCCTGCATAGAAATTAAAAAAAAAAAAGAAAAGAAATAATCATTAAACTAATGGAAAATGAACAACTGAGATCCTTACAATTCCTCCTCTGCCAATGGCAGCTATTTTTGTATGACCTTCTGTGTTGCCATAGCAACTGTTGCTACTCAAAGAAAGGAAAAATTGGTATATTCAAAAGGCTTATTGGCCATACATTTCTTGAGGCATTGCTGGTGTGTCAGCCCTGCACTCACAGTAGAATCTTATTTCTGATTAAAATTGTGAGGCACTATAAGAATTCCCTTCTTTCCATTACAATTTATAATCCTTTTTTTGTTTGGACCTTGTTTTAAATGTCAGTGCAGCGCTTGGTCATTATGTTGTCATGTGAAACACACTGCCTGCACAAGTTGTACTCTACAATTATATCTTGAACTTGAATGTGGATCGTGTGGTGTGTTCATTTTGGACTGCACTTTCTCTGCATTATTTTAATGCCCAGCTAAATCATTTTTATTTAGATCAACTAATTAAACATTTCAATGTTGTGTCCTTGCTTCCCCAGCTGTCCTTATTTACACCGGACCACTGGTGACACAGAGCGCAAGTACCATCTACGCTATTACAAGACTGGCACTTGTATCCATGAGACAGATGCTCGAGGGCATTGTGTGAAGAATGGCCTTCACTGTGCTTTCGCTCACGGGCCACATGATCTCCGACCTCCAGTCTATGATATCAGGTGACCTACAAAGCAAATAGTGGCCTCTCTTTTCCCTGCCAAACTTCTCGCTCACAGGCCTCACAATGGAACGGACAAATCAGCCAAATTAGACATAATGTAAACAGAATGCCTGCATTGAAAGGGTATAATGGATCGCCAGGGCCACGTTTCGGTTTGCAACTCAGTGTTTAGGCCTCGGCTCAGTGAATTTATTAAAAAAAAAAAAAATACAAAAAACACCTGATGGTAGATAAACAGATGTTATTGAGCTCTGTGCTGCTGGAAGAGACTGATTGAGGTTAGCTGATACCAAGATTTTAAACAAAATGTTTCCTGAGCAAAATATTTGCTATAGAAACGGAGGAGTTGAACTGATAAACCTCTCTATAATTTTGAAAGCATCTTTTTTGTTTTTTAGATCTAGCAGATATCGGTTGATATAAATGTGCTGTTGAATGATAAAATTTGATAGTGACTAGTTAAGTGAGAGGCCTGTTTTAGACAACAAGCATGTTTCTTTTAACAAGACAATACATTTAAGGATGTTTACCTTTTTTTTAATGAATTGGGGATTAAAAATAATACTAATTTTATATACACAGAGAGATCCAAGCACAAGAGGCCCTTCAAAATGGACAGTTGGGATCTGGAGAAGGTATTCCTGATCTGCAGCCTGGTGTGTTAGCAAGCCAAGCTATGATTGAGAAAACTCTGACAGAAGACCCACGATGGCAAGGTGAGTGTCCCTACTGTGATACCAGATAACACACTTTTTTACGTCCCTGCAAAATAAAATTAAAAATGACATTGATACTTTCTGCTTTTTATTGCAGATACCAACTTTGTTTTAGCCAACTATAAAACAGATCAGTGTACTAAGCCCCCAAGACTATGCAGACAGGGCTACGCTTGCCCCCACTACCACAACAGTAGAGATCGAAGACGGAATCCTAGAAAGTTCAAATATAGGTAAGATATGGCACAGTTTAAGCTTGAATGACAAATGGTATTAAAGGGACAGTTCACCCCAGAATAAAAAATACATATTTTTCCTCTTACCTGTAGTGCTATATGTCAGTATAGGCTGTTTTGGTGTGAGTTGCTGAGTGTTGGAGTTATCAGCCGTAGAGATGTCTGCGTTCTCTTGAATATAATGGAACCAGATGGTGCTTGGCCTGTGGTGCTCAAAGCACCAAAAAAATACATTTAAAAAACTCAACAACACTGTCTTTTTCCAGAAATCATGGCCTAGTTACTCAGGATAGTCCACAGACCTTGTTGTGAGCAGTTTAATGTAGGACCTATTTTCCTGCTACCGAACTACACCCACTAACTAAATCAAAACGCAGAAGGAATGGTGCATCTACTCATGGACGAGAAGCTTGTGTGACAGCATGAAATGTAAACATTAATGGCATCCTGCTTGGCTGAGGTGTAACACAAGCCAGCTCAGTGGTGCTAGGTGAGCTAGCAGTAGATGTACGCTTCCTTCTGCGCTGTGATATGATTGACAGGTGAATTTCAGTATAAAAAATAGTTGTTTTAGTGGATAGTGCCGGCACCCCATTTATAGAGGTGATGCCTCACTGCAGCGGTCGCGAGTTCGACTCCAGCTTGCAACCCTTTGCTGCATGTCGTCCCCCCACTCTCTCTCTCTCTCTCTCTCTCTCTCTCTCTCTCTCTCTCTCTCTCTCTCTCTCTCTCTCTCTCTCTCTCTCTCTCTCCCCATTTCACACTGTCCTGTCCATGAAAGGTGAAAAAGCTCCCAAAAAATAATCTTTAAAAATAAATAAATAGTTGTTTTTTTGTGTAGTTGTTTAAATGTATTTTTTTGGCGCTTTGAGCACCACAAGCCAAGTGCCATCTAGTTCCATTATATTGAAGAGAAGGCAGACATCTCTATGGACGATATCGCCAACACTCAGCAACTCACACCAAATCAGTCTAGATCGATTACTAGCCCTACGGGGAGTCAAAATATGTATTTTGGGGTGAACTGTCTCTTTAAGTTGTGTAACTGCAGGTGGTTAAAGGTTCTGTCTCTATGAACGCAGGTCAACACCTTGCCCTAATGTGAAACATGGGGATGAATGGGGCGAACCATCAAAGTGCGACAGCGGAGACAGTTGCCAGTATTGTCACTCTCGCACTGAACAGCAGTTTCACCCAGAGGTGAGTGAACTTTGTGTTTCTCAAAATTAACACCTGAAGGCAGGAGCTGTATTTTTGTGACTTGGACTTGTATACATTCAGCATGACACATACAGCAGGTCACAGCAGAGATTTACTAAATCCATAAAGTGACCATTGAAAAGCATTTAATGTAAAGCCTCATTACCTGCACTGCCACTTCTTTGCAAAGATAATGGAAAGTAAAATAAAGTGTGATAACACAGTATTTTTATAAGTGAAATTTATAAAATGCAAGACAGCCATATGCTCTACCCAATACAAGTTATTAAAACAGCCATATTACATATGATATGTAGTTAGAGAAATTTGTTTTTGGCCGTGCATTCCAGATCTTGTATTTATGAGTTTGTATTGTGCTGTTGACGTAGTTGAGCTGATGTAACACTGTGGGTGACCAGCTTTTCCAAGGATCAAGGATATCTTTGTCATCCCCGAAGGGCAATTTGTTGTAGTCACCACATAACCATCAGGGTCAAAAATCTTAACTGTGTATCTCATTGAATTGTTTTTCTTTCTCTAAGATCTACAAATCTACCAAATGCAATGATATGCGACAAACTGGATACTGTCCCAGGGGACCGTTTTGTGCATTTGCACATGTAGAAAGTAAGTAAACTTTGGTGGAAAAATACAAATCTATGAAATGCAATGTTTTTTTAGATTTTCTTTTCTTATATGCACACTTGTGAGGACATGAGAGTAGAGCATTTCTGCTCGCTGCCTTTGCATTGCTGGGAGCATTGCGATTTTGCCAGAGCGCCCTCAATGCCTTGAACTGAAAAACTTAAACTCAGAGCAGAAAGAGCTGAAGTCATTGCCGTTTTTCCCCATTGTCCAGTTGGATGAATCGAGAGGTGGGCTCTCAGTGGTGGCTAGGGCTGTCAAAATTGCTCAAAAATGACGTTCGAATATTCCTTCTAAAAATAACTCATAGGTTCGAACCATTCGAATATTTTTTTTTTCCGCATTATGTCCACAAGAGGGCAAACTAATACAAGGAAACATACTTGTATATGTATTAATACAAGGAAACATAACTACTTGTAGATATTTTTATTTCAACATAAACGTCTTTGAAAACATTTACATACCTACACATTAAAACACATAAAACAGTTATCTATAACATTATGTTATAAATGACCGCAGACCTCTCACTCATCCCCCCTCTCTGACCCGTGACCACACTGCCCGCGGAAGCGCTGTGAATAGCCTCAAAGCACCGGACCGTGACCGGCTCGCACCCTGCAGCGATCGTTTCGGTGTCTGGTCTATTTTCTGTGCGAGCCACGAGCGAATGTGTCAAGCCGGGTGACGGAGACAACAGCTGGGAGCAGAACCGCTTGTCGACCAGGCTGGAGAAATGCGCGTCTGATGCCAACGCCCACTCGCAAAGAGGACAGCTGCGATGGTGTTTTTTTTTTTTTCTCCACATTCGAATATCAATTTTCACATTCGAAGGTCCATTTTTTTTTTCAAATTCGAATTTAAATTCAAATTTAGAATATTCGTTGACAGCCCTAGTGGTGGCATTGACAACAATGGTAGCTTACAGTTCTTGATTTATGTTGAGCTAATGTAAGCTCACTTTGATGTTGGGAGAAATTTGTCTTTCTTTTTTTTTTTTTCAAAAAAACCCTTCAAATTTCAAAAGCCTTCCGGCCTGGTTTATTTTTTTGTTTTTCATCCCACATAGAACATTCACATGATAACCCACAAAAAAGTAACAAAGTCAAAAAAAAAAAAAAAAAAAAAAAACAGCACGTGGGCAAGAAATATAAACAAAAAAGAAGTTTGTTTGAAGTTTGTCTTTCTGCCAGAAAGTCATTTCTTGTTTAGGTTTGGAGAAAAAAATACATGGTTTGAGTTAAAATGAAAAGATTTCTGTTAGAAGCAAACTCCCCTCATGTGCGCTCACTTTGAACATAACCCTAGGGCATTAGTTCCCAATCTTCTCTATGTCAAGGACCCAGTAATTGATTCACATTGGGTCAAGATTTTGCTTCAGAGACCTCCATCTGAAAAGCTTTTGTTTGTCACATATGATTAAGATCAGAATTCTACAGTTGTAAATGACAATTGAGGAGATGACTGTGGAGGAAGTGAAACCTGTGATCAGCATAGTCACTCATGTGACTCTCATTCACATTGGGCTTTCTTCTATAGTGAATTAAATAATGGAAATGAACCATTTTCCATTTTTCTGGGGATCCCCTGGAACTCCTTCGAAGATCCTGGGGGTGCCTGGACCCCTGGTTAAGAACCACGTCCTTAGGCAAGCTGCAAGATGTTGCCTCAACTACTCTGTAGCATTTTACCATCCGCAATTAGGCATGACAATTGACAGCAGATTGTCAAACAGTCCCCAACTCATTCTGTAATAAGCCTTGAACAGACGGTCATCCAGGTGAAGCTCCTGGTTCAGCTGGTACTGCCCATGATTTCACCTCTTTCTGAAAGTTCCATGTACCCATATGGATCGCTATCTCTGTTTCCCTGTGTCCAGTGTCCTGTGAACAGCCTCCCAACCCTCAGAGCCAGAACAGGTGCCCTATGCCTGTCTATTTTTATGCAGATTTTGAGGTACAGATCTGTGAGATTATTTCACAGCAAAATAACGGTCAAGCTAAGCACAGGTGATTGGGTGGTTGCCTAGCAACAATAGAAAAATAACCGCTATGTCTGATTGGGGCGAGCTTCAACACAAAAAGAAAGTGTAGTGCGCTCTGTGTGATTGTGGCCGTAACCTTCAGATTGATTAATTGATTATAGTAACAAGGAACGTTAATGGTATAGGATGTTGGCAACCTGGTAGTTTTCACACTATATAAATGTAATACTTATTTTAATTCTTTCAGGAATTCCCTCTACAGAGGAGACCATGAGCTCGTTGCTAACAGTGATACAGTCAAGTTCACAGTCCCAGCTGGGCTCTCAGCAGTATTCAGAGTGTCCTGTCAGTGAGTGGAACAGTGGAGGCAACTCCACCACCAGCGCAACCAGTAGCAACGGACAAGTAGGAAGTGTATGTTTTCCTTGTTTCTATGTCCGTCCTTCTAAAGGAAATTTATCAGAATCAACATTGTTTTTGAATGTTTATAGATGGCTGCTTTTGTAGATATTAAATCACAATTCAGCCATTTACTCGCCGACATGTTCACCATGCTGTCGTTTTTCTGTTGGCATGTTTTTTTTGATCATGGATTTGTCATTATTATTATTTATTTTATTGTTTTGCATTTCATGACTACATTGTTTTAGAAATACGAAGACAATTTCTTATTTGAAGCGACATTTAATATCAAACAACTAGTCTTCATTTATTGTTACACTCTCAATCTAAGACAGTCTAATGTGTAGCAATCATGACCTTAATATTAATATTCCATTCAGAATAATGGTTTTATTTATTTATTTCTTGATCATCCTTTTATTAAGACCATGTGCACTTCTCTTTCTCAGGTTTCATGTTCAAATAGCTCGACTGTAACTCCAAGCTCAGGAAGCGACAGTTTGTTATCCCCAGTGGGATCCATCAGCAGGCCCAAATCCTTAACTAATAGTAGTTTATGTTCAGAGTCCACCACATCCAGTGTCTCATCTCTGACGTCTAACTATCCTAAAGCTCCGGGCTATGAACGTGAGGATCAGGTATACAGACCGCTCTCTTTAGCCTTAGGAAAACTATAACACATAGACACACTCAGGGCTTCACATTTGATGTATCACTGTCATTCATTTTTGAATTAATGTTTTTTTATTTCTCATTCATGTCATTTGAATTTTTATAAATTTAATAAATTTTGCCATGAATTGCTTCCTTTTAGGTTTTAGATCATTTCATGTGTTGGGTGGCAGCAGTGTTTTATCACTTGATGAGAGTATTGAGTAGTTTATATCTGGGTGACTTGACAACAAACAATATTCATAATCAGTGCTGCATTTTGTATCAGTTTTGAGAAGCTTAATGTGGCAATCAGACAGCCTAAAAAATATTTTCACTCTGCAAACACAGTCAGGAGTATTTGTAACTCCACACTAAGAATTCTCCTTAGGTTGATTTCTCTGCTGTCTGATGTAGTAATTGCAGAAGAGTGCCACCCACTCATATTTAAATGAGTCTGTTTCTATCATTGTGGATGCTCTGCAATCAAAGACAGTATGTTTGAATCATTGTCAGAGCTAAAAGTGGCAGACAGAGTCAAGTTACACAATCAGTTTTAACACCTCTGAGTCTGATCAGATGTAATTCAGTAAGCAGTTACCACATAAAACATTACAATAACGGTCTACTGCATATCAGATGTATTTAAAGGGACAGTTCATCCTAAAATAAAAAATATATATTTTTCCTCTTACCTGTATTGCTATTGTCAATTTAAGTTGTTTCAGTGTGAGTTGCTGAGTGTTGGAGATATCGGCCATAGAGATGTCTGCCTTCTCTTGAATATAATGGAACTAGATGGCACTCGGGTTGTGGTGCTCAAAGTGCCAAATACATTTGTCAACAGCAATGTCTCTTTCCAGAAAATTACATATGAAAAACTGTTAAGTTTTTCGTATGTAATTTTTTGGCGCTTTGAGCACCACAAGCTGAATGCCATCTAGTTCCATTATATTGGAGAGAAGACAGACATCTCTACGGCCAATATCTCCAACACTCAGCAACTCACACCAAAACAATCTTGATTTATAAATAGCACAACAGGTAAGAGAAAAAATATGTATATTTGATTTTGGGGTGAATTGTCCCTTTAATGCTGCTCTAGCTCATGTCACCAAGTCACAGTGGGCTCCATTTGGAAAAGTAAATTATGGATAAGTCTGTGTTTAAACTGGCTCTTTAATTTTTGTCAGCTTTTAGCTATTTGCAGTGAAAGAATGCTCCAATTTTTATCAGCTGTCTGGATGTAAAATGTAGAGTTTTGTAACTAAATTGTGCTGTTTCTGTGTTAATTGATCACTTGTAGATTAAGAACAAGGGGCAGGGGGATCAGAAATTGATGGACCAAGACAAACAGGTTTGTGTTCAAACAGGTTACTGATGATGTTGCATAATATATAATGTATTTATTTAATTAACAACATTGTCATCTGTGCTTTCCTTTCAGACACAAAATACTGTATTCTCTGTGGTGAACCCTTTGGCATCAAGCTTTACCTCCAGTATAACATCCAGCTTGGCCTCAAGTATTGGCTCAGATAGTTCGTCACCCACCACCTTATCAACAATGAATGCAAAAGCCACTCCTTTCTACCCAGGGAGCAACACAGTGGAGTCTGTCATAGGTATGTGTGTAGAAGCAACTGTAAACTGACTGACTTGACTCCTCCTGCTTTGTATTTTGTTGTCAAATGTTAGATGTATTTTGTTTCCCCTCAGGATCTGCGCTGGACCTCAACTTCAGTGACATTAATGTTGCATCTCTTGATAAGGAGTTAGAGGAGCAAGAAAACAGTGTGGGACTGGCAAGTAAGTTCACCCTGTTAAATTACTTTCAGTTGTTTAAGCAGCTAATCACAAATAGTCTCATCTTAATTTGCCTTGAAGTTATTCAATAAAGTATCTACTTTGTCCCCACAGGTCAAAGGGTGCTAGGTGGATCTGCTCCAGTCAACATTCCTGGCTCCCTGGCACGATCATCCTCTTTCAATTCCTCGTCATCTCTCTCCACCTCCCCGCTAAGCTCCCTCTCCCAGTCTCTGTCACAGTCCCTGCTGTCTGGGACGGTATCGCAGCAGAATCAACCTTCAAACATGTTAACCAAGCAAGAGCATGGCCTCCTAGGAACACCCACCTCCTCTTCCCAGAATTCTTTGGGTAAGCTGATAGCATCAGGCGTTTAGCTCCAAGTGAGCTGGAAAGCATTTGACTTCAGATTTTAATCTCAGAGTCTCGTATGTCAAGGAAAAGAGCTTCTAGATTCTTTTAGATTCTTCTGACACCATTACTCTGTTCAGTATCATATTTTAGCACATTTAAGAATTGAGCACTTTCTTCAGCTTTACTTAAATATTTAATATAGGTCCTTATGCAGACGTCAAAGTAATACCTCACCTCCAAATTATCATATATATATTAATTATTCACCCTGTTTTGTATTGAGTTTGTAAAGAAAACTGTTATCTCGCATGCCTTTTGATGAATGAAGAATCCAAAAACAGGAAATTCTTGATGAATTTAAGTAAAGTAGTCCATGTTAACAATGGCAAAACAAGTCTTGTTCACCGGTTGTATGCTCAGTACATCCCGAACAGACAGCCCACTCTGACGGGACACTGAACTAAAAGTGAAACCTAACATTTGCTCTCTTCAAAGCCAGACTCCATTGACGATAACAGTAATTTTACTTCTCTGAACACTGGAGCTCTGGTCTCCCGCTAGCACAAAGAAAGAAAGAGGCAGTTCTTGATTTACCAAAGCCAAATCACTGCTTAAAATTCCATCTATTTAGGACTGATAAAAAGAGTTTAAATTATCAGACAGCTCTAAATGAAGTGAAACTTTCCATCCCTGACTAACTGCCCACTTTTATGCTTGGTCTTGTGATTTGAACACGCCACTCACCTAGGCTTGAACGGAGGGGCTAGCAGCATTTGGGACTTTGTAAGTGGCAGCTTTTCACCGAGTCCATCTCCAGTTTTCAGCAGCCTAACCTCCGCAACCAGCAGCGCCGATCTGGCCCGCCTTTTTAGAGATCTGGACGAGGCTAAGAGGAAGATCAAACAATGGGAGGAGGCCTGGCATCAGGTCAAACAAGTCAGTGCTACAGATGAACTCTAACTGCAACACATCTTTGCGTATCAGAGTGATTTTGCTTTTATAGATTATAGATAAGTTTTTAATCACATCACTTTGTTCCAGGCTTGTGAAGCTTGCCAGAAAGACGCCCACGAAGCGAAGGAACAAGCAAAAACGGCCGAGGCAGAGCGTCAGCTGGCAGAACAGAAATGGGAGGAGACAGAGCGCAAGCTGAAAGAGCTCCAAGGGGACTTTGATGTGCTTTGTCGCACCCCTGGAACACCTCTTCTACGTAGCTATGGAGAGCTGGAGCAGCTCCCCTTGTCAAAGCTTCACTCCATCCAGAGTCAGCTACGTAATGACCTAGACCTTATAGACGGGGTAAGAAAGACTAGATCACACACAGAATTTCGTTTGTAGCATCTAGTTTCAAAGCGGTTTGTCTATCAGGCTATCATTTAGATCTACGTTTTGTCATCAAGCATGCTTATTTGAAAAAGTCTGCATGAACTGTATTCTCCTAAGTTGCAGCTGATATTCGTTCTTTTCTTTCCCAACAGGTAATATATCAGCTTCAGTCAAAGAAATGTATAGTTTGCCAAAAGCATGATCGTTGCATTGTTCTGCAGCCTTGCCAACATTATGTACTATGTGAGAACTGTGCACCTAGTAAAACAGAATGTCCCTACTGTAGAACAAAGATACTGAAGTGGTGATGTACAATTACTCGAGGTACTATTTAAAGAATTAGCCCTTTGAAAAACTACTAATAGATATTACATTTTCTAAATAGCAATGTCTGTTTTCATCCAGTGATTGAATTAATTTAGAACACAATGATGTTTGACTGACAATGCAGATAGTATTATAAATCAGATTGTGCACTGGGGATTCAATCATTACAACTTTTGCTCATTTTATGTGCATATTGCCTCACTCAGACGGAGAACTTCCTGTATGAAAAGCCATGCACTCAGATTACAATATTCATGCAAAGCCCTTTGTCAAATCTTCAGTCATGATTCAGACCGTCTAAAAGGACATAAATCTGGTGTCCAGATATATACGCTTTGTTTACACTTTCATTAACACATTTTTGGCGAAACACAAAATGCAGGTGTGCTTCACCCAAACAAAAAATTGGAAAGAGGACCAATAAACTTGGTTAAAAGCTGTTAACGCAAAAACTTTAATGTGTGAGTCTGTACTTGTTCATGGATCGGAAACACTTAACTGCACTTTGGAATTATTGTGAATAAATGTCTGATCTATTAATAAAATGCACTTAATGACCACCCAGAGCAAAATTTAATTTCAAGGCATTTCAGCCCTAACTTTTCAGAAAATACTGTGGATATTTGTCAAGATAATGAAGTTTTATTAAATGTTACATCACAAAAATTTGTATTTAAAGACATACAAGAATTTATCTTAACTAAAAAGGTCTAGTTTTAAAATTACATATAAGAAACTCATGTCCTTTTCATACTGTAAGTCTTAAAATCATTGTTCAGTCATGTTGGTGGTGGGAAAAGTTTGATAAATGAAGTGTCCTTTGTATTAATATCAAGAGGAGGTGACCCACAGCCCACTGACCTTCATATAGGAATTCAAAAATGGACATTTCAAAACAGTCCCACACATTAATACAGAACAATTAATACACCACTTTCAGGTTGGGATCTCAAATGCAAAGAAATCACTGTGTAAATGTTTGAAAGACACTGCCAGGACACGTTGAGTTCATCCACACTTGACAAATTTGGTGACGTTAAACATAAAATGGGCAAAACTCAAAGCTGTTTTTTCTTTAATTAAAGGGGAACACACAGAAATCGAAGAATTCACACAGGAGCTTTTGGAGGCAAATCAAGAAACTAGACATCCAAGAACCTGAATGTGACTAGATACTTAATTAGGAAATCATATTTTTGTTTTAACCTAATTAGTCTGAGATTCCAAGAAAAAAAAAGTGGGTGCTCTCTTTATAGAGCACGGAGCTGCCGAAACTGACGTGTGAAACAGGTCGCTGATCAGCTTCGATGTACCAGAAGGCTCCGTGCTCTGAGGAATTAATACATACGTGGATTCAACACTGTGGGGAGCATTTGATGACAAAATCTTTGGCTTAAGTGTAAGACTGAATATTTAGATTTTCAAAATGTTTCACATCCAATGAGGTATTAGTGCTGAACCACACTAAGCAAGGAAACAACATGACACATATTTGTGTTCCTCTTTAAGTAAAGGCACATTTTCATTGACATTTTTTCAATGCAACCAGTCAAACATCATTATTTTGACCAACTCTGAAGAAGTTTGATTTCTTATTAAAGCACTTTGTTGACCTGGGACTTTATTAAAGGGTATATAGATTTTTTTTTTTGCTTTTAAGCTGCTTTGTAGGTATTCTTTTGTGTCTTTTTTTAGATTTATAATTTGTTTTTTCTATATAAGCTAATGTCTGAAGCTTTTGTGTGTACTGTGAAACATAATTTGGATATTTCATGTTTCCTATTGTTAAAATCCTGGCATGGTTCTACATATTGTTAAGATTTCATAGAAAAGTACTTAATAGTTTCTACTTTCATAGTTAGATTTATAAAATTTCAATCAAATAAGTGCAAATTTAAAAATGCATTTTAGGCATAACCAGCAGCTGTAATATCAGTAAGGCACATGCGACATGTTAAGGCTGTTTCTTCAATCAGTTAGTTTTGTTTTGTAGAGATTTCTATAGCCTAGCCTATTAGAGGAGCATGTATTGTATTTGCTAAAAGCCTGAGATGGTGAATTTTTTTGTAGGAATCTAGCCTCTTGACCTTGTCTAGAACATATCGGCCTCTAACTCTGAAGTGCCTTGCCTTAGTTTAAAAAGGTTATGTGTAGAATCGTCAGAGCAAACACAAGTAGTTGAAGCTTGTGCACAGGTTTCTGCATAACGTGTATTGTTTAACTTTGCAGAAGCATCGACATGTGTAAGATTATATGTGTATATATAAGTACGCCAGTGTATTCGGCCCAATCCCATCGAGTATTTCTGCGGACGATAATTGAAAACGGATGAACAAAGTCAGTGCCTGTGTCCTGACGTCAACCATAGAAACGAACTTCCCCTCCCGCCCGCTCATTCCTCGGTCGTGGTGCTCTTTTGGTGCAGCTTCAGTCTTTGATGTTAGGTTATTCAATTCAATGTTTGGGAGTATGCAACCATAGGACTTATGGATTTGTATAGCAACATATAAAAATGCTTTTTAAACAGTTGAGTAATGTTAATTTGTGTTATTGTAATAACTCTGCAGTGAATGAAGAATTCCATAGTTAACTTGTAAGTTGGATAGGACTTGTGCTTAGGTTCCTCTAATTGAAATGACCTTCTACTGTGTTAAAAAACCTTTTTATCCTTGCGTTAAATTCAATAGAAAATCATATATCTCCAGGTACACTTTTTTGCTACTTATAAATATGGGAAAAATGCATTGTTTACATTCACATAAATGACAATTAAGCAACTCAGAGGAAAAATTATCAAGAAAGCTTACGGTATTTTAGCGTCTTCGTGATTATATTACAGCATAAAAGGCAGGCTAAACACTTCTGGTATTGCATGTTATGCGATATATTAACCAGCTACAACAAAAAAAACAAAAGGACAAAAAAAAAAAAGTTTGCACTGTGTCACACTGCCAGAATATTTGTATTGACTTATTTTTAGTGTAGTAAAGGCTAAATAACTTCTGCAAGCTTCGCTGCTACTGGAAAAAGGTATTAATGTAGTTTGTTGTTATACATTTAGATGTTTGAATGTTGTGCATCCACAGCTCAGATTTCAGAAATAATTTGTCTTCTGCATCTAACTTGACTAAATTTTATTTGATTGACTTATTGATGTGTAAATCCATTTGAGTCAAAGTTTCAGTACTTTTTTTATATCATTAAGAATGATGTCACAGACCTGTACTGCTGTAGGTTGTCCCTTTTGTTGAATCGATGGACGGTAAATGTGTTTTTGGATTTCTTTTCACACCCATACACTGGGTAGCAGTGTACGGTGCAGCTAATTTCACAGAGTCCTTTGGCTATTTTGTTTGACCTGTGAAGCCGACTAAATTAATGATGTCTAGTGTGGAAAATTTAAAAACCAACCAAAGTGGTGTTCTAGTAACTGTCCAAATATGTATTCTAAAGGGAAAATTTGCCCTTGAACAGAATTCAAATCATTTCCATCAGATCGATCAGCCTGTACTGTAGTTGCAAACAGGGTCTGGCTCAAAGATATTAATGGCAGGTCAGAGCACAGATGCCATCCAAGTGAAACTGAGACAGCATTTTGGGTGGCAGGAATTCTGTTTTCGGATGGATTTTATCTTTAATATTTCATTCAGTAGTCACATACAGTATATCCTCGTAGTTTGTAAACAACAGGACTATGCCAATGGCTTTTGCTTACAACATTAATGGACTTGAGCCCATTTTTTGCAGTTTTACCAAAGACCTGAACTGTTGTTGTTTTCTATTGTACTACATTTCATCATTCATTTTATTTCAGTAAGAAACCTAAATTCATTAAAAAAAAAAAAAATTAATCACCTAGTACCTTAAATAGATAATGTTCATTAACAGTAATTAATGGCATCTTTTTCTATCTAAAGTTAGCTATAGTGAGTTGATACAGAAATGATCAAAAATGCATGGGTCAGATCCTTAGAAAATGTGTATTTGTATATTTGATTTTGTGTTAAATATACATTGACATTTATGGCAGGTTTGTGCAATACTGGCTCGCACATGCCGACCTTTAGCAAGGATTCAGTGTCAGTTTAATCGTTGTCTACAGTGAAGGAATGTCAAAGGTGAATGACATTTGTGCTTCTGAAGTGGCCATATAAACTTTTGTTTGTTGATTTTTTTTTTTTTTTTGCTTAATAATCTCAATCACTTTGGAAAATTGATGGTTATGCATTATATGCTGTTATGATCGGCCTACAGTGACTGTAAGGTGCTTTCTTTCTATCTGACTCTTTGTTTTCTATTTCTTAAAGCCGTGGTCCAAATTTGTTTTTTGTTTTTGTTTTTTCTGTAAAAATGACAGGACAGATGATGATTGTGACAAACATTAATGGCAGATACAGACATAATTAAAACTGAGTTGTTGTTGTTACGGTAATATGTTGTTGGGTCTCTCCAGTGGTCCATTTGCCCTAATTCAAGTTTTGTTTTTAAAAGAAATGAAACATTCACTTGAGAAGCACAGCTTACATTTCTTTAGATTTGTTGAAGGTGGAGTCAGCGATTCTGGAGGGGGATTGTTTATAGTTGTGGTAGGGATGGGCGTGAGTACTCAAGTACTCGATGTGGACGTCAGTATTTTTTGCTTTGTAAAATAAAATCACAAATATTATGAATATAAATTGACCCTGTTCTATATTAAAAGTTTACATTTTTGGATAAGACACAATAATGAGGCTGCTATCTATGAATATCTGCATGTCGGGAAAATTTCAATGTGCACACACGATGTCGGCGGCACAGTGGTGCAGTGGTATGCGTTGTCGCTTCACAGCAAGAGGGTTCCTGGTTCAAATCCAGAGTGGGGCAGCCTGTCTGTACTCCGGCTTCCTCCCACAGTCCAAAGACAGGTTAGGTTTATTGATGACTTTTGAGGGTGCTTTCATACCTGCCCTATTTGGTTCGGTTCAACTGAACCCAAGTTCGTTTGGCCCCTAAGTGCTATTTGTTTGGGCAGGTGTTGGTCTGTGCGAAGTTGTCCCCATGTCAGCGTGGGTTTTCTCCGAGTACTCCGGCTTCCTCCCACAGTCCAAAGACAGTTTAGGTTAGGGGAATTGGTGACTCTAAATTTCCCATAGGTGTGAATGTAAGTTAATGTAACCTGCGATAGTCCGGCAACCTGTCCATGGTATACCCTGCCTCTCGCCCAATGTCACCTGGGATAGGCTCCAGCCCCCCCGGAGAATGAATGAACACCCAATGTCAGGTTACTGGCAGAATGGCGACTAGACATAAGAGTGATGTTTGGAAATATTTTGACGAAATAAAATGAATGTGCCATGCAACCTATGTAACATTGAACTTATGTTTCGTAGTTAATCTCTACAGTCTGTGTAGTGCAGTAAGGTAGGCTAACGCTAACCCCTGCTCGCAATTTCCTTTGGGTGTTCATTTCGGACCCTAATCTGAAGTTCGATAAGTTAATGCGAGCACTTGAATGCAGAAATATTTAAAATACCCACATCTAATTCGCTGTAGAGTTAAGCACATTAGCATGTGCCAATTTTACCGTCCCTTTCGCTCCCACTGCCTCTCTTTAAACACCCATGGCCTTTTCCTGTCCTGTCCACGAGCACGAATGCCCATGTTGCTGATTGGCTGTAATAGTGTTGTGTGGCTCAGTATGAGACGCTTTGTTCGTTTCGCATTTACAGAGCCAGGGCTATGTATGAATACAGGATGTTTTTTTCAAAGCGCACACAGAACGGACTAGTGAAGCGTGAGGAAAAGTGTATTGGATTAGAATCGCAGACTTCACCTTTACATTTATCTCTAACGGACCAATTACACCTTCAAGTACAACTGTGCCTTTTAATAATTAAATAATGTCGATTGGTATCAAGAGAATACGTCTCTAAGACTGTGTGTCTCAGTCGGATGACAAAATATAACTAATTAATTAGAATCAAAATTCCAGTGCCTTACAATATTGTTGTGGACCACAATGTGATAAATGATCCTCTGCATTCAGGCCACTTGAGCAGAAAGGACAAAAGGCGAATGACGTTTGGTCCACCAGTTTCACCGAAGGAGGCAAAGGTTATAATTGACTGATAATAGTCGATCTCAGTCTGTATTTGCCATACCATTAAAAAAAAAAACAGCAATATTTAACCATTGAATACACAATTTTGATCTCAATTAGTCATTTGGCACCAAAAACTCAATTGTTTGTAAGGAAAAGCACCAAATAGGAAGAATCTTGTAAATGAACTGTAATAGATGTATCATTATGCTCTGCATTGGAATAGTTTAATCTATTTTGCATTATTGTTAGTTGTTGTGTTGTCTTTTTGTTTTTAATATTATGAAAATGGAGCCTGAAGATTTATGCAATCTTGTACATGTATATGAGTATGATGTATGGAGCTGTTCAAATTAAGTAAAATACTAGTACAACAAGTGTTGTCGAAAGTAAATAATCTGAATGTGGAACCAGTCGTTCCATATACTGTAGAAAATTTCAGTAGAAATGTTATTTTAACATTGAAGCCCTGAAATATTGAATGTATTGTTCTAAATTAGATATTCAATGAATAGGTCACTGGATATTATGGAGCGCAGTTAATTCATTATGATGTAGCATCTAGTTGTGAACTGCTATTCAATAAAATTTATTAGAACTAAAACAAATGCAAGTTTTCAAGTTTCTATTTGTCAGCATAATGAGGAAATATAAGGAAAGAAATGTATTTTTCTCAGGGTAATACGGCGATTTCATAGAGATTGTGTTAAATCTGAGGAAACTGCATTTCATGGATTTACTTAATGTCCGTGGGTTTAGACATTATTTATAGATTAAACAATATGTCCCTTATTTTGTGATGAGCTGTATGGATATGTAGGAAGTTCTCTACTGATAATCGTAGAAATTATTCTGTTGGTATATTGATATTTTTTTGTGTTGTGAACACAAAAATAGGTGCAAGTCTTAGAAAACTAGATTTTTCTTTTCTACATTGAGGATTGTGTACAGCATATTTTCTGTAGTGTATTACTAGTTTGTTAACACTTGTTAAATTGTTACACTACAGTTATGCAATGGTTTACAGAGTTCACAAAATTATTTTTATCATCTTGAGAATTAAAATAATTTTTCATCTGAAATGTGTGAATACTTTTTGTCTCGAATGCAACTGACAATAAAATTTAGAAAATACTATGTGCCTGTAAGTCGAGTGGACGCCAAAGGAGGGGTAAGGTGTTTTTTATGGAAAAAAAAAGATATATATATAAAATAGTATTTAGAGCAAGTCTTTACTGAACTATTGGGAATTATAAATGACATCTTTTTGAACAGTTGTAGGAAAATGCCAGCTGATGTGTCATAACCTTTGGTATGTGACAGCTCTCAGGAGACAAGGCATTAAATAGGTAGCATAAGTTTTTGGCCTTGAGGAATAGAGCACAACACAAAACAATTTGTCATGACAATACAATAAATGTTAAAGGGACTGTTAACCCCAAAAATTAAAACAATACATTTTTCCTCTTACCTGTAGTGGTATTATCAGTCTAGATTGTTTTGGCGTGAGTTGCCAAGTGTTGGAGATAATGGCCGTAGAGATGTCTGTCGTATATTGAATATAATGGAACTAGATGTCACTCGGCTTGTGGTGCTCAAAGCGGCAAAAATTACATTTAAAAAATTCAACAACAATGGCTCTTTCCAGAAATCATGACCCAGTTACTCAAGATAATCTGCAGACCGTGTTGTGAGCAGTTTCATGTAGGAACTATTTTCTTTCTTCTGAGCTACACACACCAACTGTATCACTACACAGAAGGAAGCGTGCATTTACTCATACCAGAGGCTTGTGCTTGTGACTATGCAGAGCCTACTCACATTGTGAGCATCTATACTTGTGCGTTGGTGTGTCTGTCACTGCAGTTACACCTCCAAACAATGGTTGGTAGTGTGGTTTCTGTGAAGTGCTTTAAAGTTTAGTTGACCCAAAACACACATTAAACATGGCTTAATAGCGACAAACACAAGTACACAAATCAGCTTCACTATAACTCGCAGCATTCACAGACAAAGCACTTGTCTTTTGCTGGACACATTTTCCCCACAATTACAACATGCTAATGTTTTTAGCACAAGCCTATGGCATTTTACATTGTATAAATTAGCCTAGTGGCTAGCAGACTTTTCCTCTACTCATATGAAGCCAGAGACAACCGCAATGTTTAACAAAGTTAACGTTACAATATTCGACTCTATTAAAACTCACAAGGTTCACTGACAAAACAACTGTCTTACACTAAACATGTTTTCCAAACAAACATAACATGCTAATGTTATTAGCGCCAGCCTATGGCATTTCGCATTGTATAAATTAGCCTAGCGACGAGCAGAGATTTCCTCTGCTCATATGAAGCCAGGATAAATTACACACACAAAAAAATGCTATTTTGTGGAGCTCAGTGGTGCAAGGTTAGCTAGCAGTGGATTCACATTTAATTCCCTGCGGCAATGCAGTTAGTGGGTGCAGTTTGGTAGAACAGAAAATAGTTTCCTACATGAAAGTGCTCACAACAAAGTCTATGGTTTATTAAGTAACTGTCATGATTTCTGGAAAAGACATTGCTGCTGAGTTTTTCCAAAGGTTTTTTTTTTGGTTTTTTATAAATTTTTTTTTTTTTTTTCTCCTTGGCGCCTTGAGCACCACATGCTGAGTGCCATCTAGTTCCATTGGAGAGAAGGCAGACGTCTCTACAAGCGATATCTCCGACACTTGGCAACTCACACCGAAATCTAGATGGATAAATAGCACTACAGGTAAGAGTAAAAAAAATATACTTTTGAGTTTGGAGTGAACTGTCCATTTAACACAGCATTACACCTGGTTGGTTTACATTAAGATGCTAAATACATATTTTGTTAAGATATTACAAAGAATTAAAGACCTTGAAGAAAAAGCTGAATTATATTCAAAATTGACCTCTTTCTGATTTTGTGGGGTAGATAATGATTTTCCCCACTTTTTCTAGGTCTGACCTTTCCTTGTAAATGCTTTGACATTGAACGATACAGGGGAAAAAAATGTTAATTACACAGAAATATTCTAAATGTATGCACAGAAGGTTTGAATTGTCTTTTTCAATACCTTTCAAGGACCAAGTTAAACCTGGCCACAATCTCTTCCCCTTGCAGAGCCATGATGACACAAGGTGCTGTGTAAAGATGAGCCACCTTTTAAAGGAAACAACAGAGCAGGAAAAATGAACAGCTTCTTGCTCTGTTTAAAGGAAATTTATCTCTAAAGCAACTTAGTTCCAAGCCAAGCTTCTCACCTTTTCATCTCCTCCTGATGACACTTTCAGCATCTCAGTGATATATTTCCTCTACTCATTATCCAGTATCATCCTCCCTGCCACCAGATGGCAGCCTGACCACAGCAGCTGCTCCAGCATGTCCAGCTGGGATGGCACTCGGCTGAGAGGTGGAGCATTTAAGGGTATCAGTAGATAGGTTGTCTGCCAGAGAGCACTGTGTATCCCTGGCACCAATAAACAAGCAAAACAGGACATTTGTTTCTTTACAAAGGTCGCCTGGAACTGAGTCATATTTCAACATCTATTCCAGAGGAGTGTCTGCCAAAGTCACAATAATGATTATGTAATTTAAAGGAACCCATGTTGCTGTAACAAACCACTGAACCATGTCACGTTCAGTGCTTTGATTTTAAAGTTTAATGCTATGACAATAGTCTATCATGTTATAAGTGTCTATTTATCACAATAAAACAATAAAAATAAACATTTGATCCTGATGCCACTGAAGGTGACACTTTGATTATACTGTACGAGTTGTGTGAGAGTTTGTAAACAGATGCTTTTATATAGTTTTGCTGATGTTGAACATGGCTTCCTTTTACTCTTATTTGTCAAGAATTTTCTTCACTTTTTGGATTCTTCGTTCACTGTGTAGGCATCCGAGAATTCTTCATGAATTCAGTGTAACACAAGGTGGGTAACTGATATGGAAATGATCTTTTTATGGGTGAAGTATTCTTTTAAACATACAATAAGGCAGGACAAGTTTATTTGCACATTTGATTTATAAAGTCAATTCAAAGTGCTTTACATGCCGGACACTTTTTCAGGTATGCCTGTACAACTGCTCGTTGACACAAATAGCTACTCAACCATGGTCAAAACGACCTGCTGAAGTTCAAACCGAGCATCAGAATGAGAAAGAAAGATGACTTTGAACGTGGCATGGTTGTTGGTGCCAGACGGGCTGGTCTGAGTATTTCAAAAACTGCTGATCTACTGGGATTTTCACGCAGTGTGCAGTATAGGGCACTGACCAGAGACGCCATTGTATACATGAGCCATGCCATAACAGGTCTACATGGATGGGTCCTCTTGACCAAGCACATCCTGCAGCCTCCTCACAGCGTTCTCCCCCTGGAGGCCGAGAGCCAGAGAGGAGCCAGAGCACAAGTACTCCACATGGGCCTCCAAAGTGTGAGGGGTGCTGCACACAACAATAAACGCGGTGTGAATGATCACGGCTTATGTTTATGCATGAAAGGAAACTTACTTTTTCAGACAGATATCTTTATCGGTTACACTGTCTGCAGGCATATGTGCTGTGTTTGAGCCAGAAAGCAGTGTGCATGTAAAGTGTATGAAAATGTAATTGTTGTGTGCCCTGTAGTTGTTAGAAATGTATTTTCAGATCTCACTACGTCAACAAATGCCAAAGATAATATCAAATAAGCTCTGCATGGTTGTTGTAAATATTACTTTTTAAGATAAGGCTGTTTCTCTTTATACGCAAACCTTTTGTGCTGCAGTTTTGTTGAGGAAACGTCAGAAGTGGTCGCATACTGTGGTCTGTGGAGGATAGACGTCTACACACACAAGACTATTTGCTTATTTCTACATAAATGTTGTGATAGGCTCAAAACTTCAAACTTGGAGCGTCCCTCAAGACATTTGATTTTAGACTTGATATCTGATGTTTTTATACAGCGCTCAAACAAATCTGCCAGGAATCATCTCATGCTCAAAAAACAAGAGGGAGGCTTGTGTGAAAGCTGCTTCAGGTGTGGGTGACATGAGGACACTGAGGTTAGCGGGGTAATTGCGTGGTAGGCGTTTCCACAGTGAAGCCAAAGCATCCACCTCAATTCTGATTGAATGATTCACTCACACACTCACTAACAAACTGCGTAGGCTGCTATGTGTATTTGACAGTGTATTTTGTTTGTTTACTGCCACCTCCAGTTCCAAAACCTGGGACAGGCTGTGCTCCCACAAATACAGTTGAACTTCACCCACCTTCCTGCCCTTCTGTCAGCACTCTGTGTAGGAGGCTCAGGCCTTGGCTCATCACAAGGTCAAAATCACCACCTGCTCCATGGCAGAGTTGGATGAACACTTCTTATGGGACAGGATCATACTGGAAGGATCTGGCACTGCCCACATACACCTAACTAACAAGAAAAAGACACTGAGGGAAACATCTGAGGAGCATACTGCAACTGAACGCACACTGCTTACCAAAGACTCTTGGAAAACTTGACGATACAGACTTTAATTTTACTTTTAGTATCATTTATGGAGATAAATGCTGTTGTAGATGTACTTTAAGGTGGAATTCAGACCTGCTGGCAGACTGACACTGGGGTGGGCTGCATTTTCTTTCCTCAGTAACAACAGCAGACAGTGAGAGGGCAGCTCCAGCTGACCCTGATCCAGGGTCACAGTATGTGAACTGCAGAACAAAAGTGCCTAGAGAGAACATACAAAGGCTCCAACACTGTGATGAAAAATACAAAAGTAAATGGAGAAACCAGTGTTTTTTGAAACATTATCAATAATTGACCCTTGTCATGAATACAATCATACCCTTCTATTCTACATACAGTCCTTTTCTTAGTCTGACCTCTGGCTGTGTATTTAGCAGGTCTACCCGCCGGAAGAGTCCAAGGACTGCAGCTCTTTTTCTCTGAAGCCGCAGCCTCTGCACCCCCTCATACTGAAGCCTCTGCCTTCACTTGGCCGTAGCAACATGGAGACCCAACAGGCGACACTACAAGGAATAAGTCAGCTGTGCAGGGAGGGAGAGAAGGATTAGCAGCTCAAAATTTCCCTCAGAACAGTGAAGATGAAAATGGCATTTGGACAACAGCTATTAGACTTTTGGCTCCTTGTTGAGTTGACAGTACCTTCCATTGTTGCACAATGAATAGAAGGTGATCTGCTTAAATTGAACAACCTCCCTCTGACACTGTCAAAATGAGGATGACAGATTATATATATATAATAAAGGGACTGTACTTAAGTACGTCAGGGGCCAGCAACCTTTACAATCATAGGAGCCCTTTATGGCCAAATAATACATAACAAATCAGTCTGAAGCCGCAAAACATACTTTAACCTTAACCCTTTGAAACCAGAGCAAATTGGCTTGATTCCTTTCAAAAAACATTGGAAGAAGGTAATGAGCAACAAAAGAAGAAATGACCCGAAAAAATTGCAAGAAATTAGTAGGAAGAGAAAATTCATAACAAGAAAATTAGGTAAAAAAAAAAAGAAAAGAAAGAAAGTTAAAAACAAATAAACAAACAAGAAAATGACCTTATATATATATATATATATATATATATATATATAGATAGATAGATAGATAGATAGATATAGATATAGATATATATATTAGGTCATTTTCTTGTTTGTTTGTAAAATGTAATAATATGTAATATTTATAAATTATAATTATATTATTGTAATAAATGATTAGAAAATAAATTGATATTTATTATTTATGTAAGTTATTAAAAAAATTTCCCTAGCTTTTTTCCCCTAATTTAAAAACAAATAATAATAATTGTCTAAATCTATTAATTTTTTGTTGTTGCAATTTTTGACAAGACAAGCCACTGCTGTTTAGGTTCAGCAAAATTTATAGGTGCCAGGCCATAGAACACACAAAAAAGTTATTGAATTCCATATAATTTTTTTGTCAAAGCCACAGGGAGTCACTGGAGAGGGGCATGCAGCTCCGGAGCCCAGGTTGCCAACCTCTGTACTAAGTAAACCTTACTGACTTTAACGGATTTCCTGCTGAAGATAAGTCTCTAACATCTGACTGCAAAAGTCACTTAGATATGACACGATACGATGCGATATGGTATACTTTATTGTCTGCTTGCACAGAAATTTGTCTTACGACACAGCAGCAGGTGAAACTGAAAGTCAACTTCGTAAGTTGGACAGTAAAATTATAAATTAATAAAATATACCCTCTTGAAATGTGTCAGTTTAAAACTGAATGTGAATAAAAACAACGAGTCAGAGCCGAGGAGTCTCTAACGCAGCTGTCAATCATGTTGATCACTGCTCCTGAACTGCAGTCTGCAACTGTTAAATCAGGCAGCGCCAATCAAATATGAATCAAGATTCCTTTACTGCATTGCCTATTTCTCTGCTTAAATGTTTTCAGAAACACCTGTACCGGTGGGCAGTGCCCAGAGATGGGGACTCGAGTCATTGTGACTTGGACTCGAGTCGACTCGAGTCGCTGTTTTGATGACTTTTGGCTTGACTTGCCAAAAAATAAAAGACTTGAGACTTGACTCGGACTTGGAAGTTAACTCTCGGGACACTTGACTTGAGACACGATGACTTGAATGACTTGAGTGTTATTTACATCATGCTTTCGGTTAGAATATAAAATTAATAAATTAATTTAAAAAATAATGTCAATTACCTGGTAGGAGCGCAGGCTGAGAATGGCGTTGTCATGATTGGATCACTACCCTGTCAATCAGTCATGCCCTCTCTACGTACCTTACGTGTTTATTGGAGAAAAAGGCCCTCTTATATCAGATAGGCATCAACATGTCAGCGGGAGGGGTACCGAGAGTCATCGTCTTCAGCTTTCGGAATTACCATTATTACGGCAAAAGACGAACAGCACAGTGCAAGACATGCGGCATAAACATCTCGGACAGCCAGGCGACAACTTCAAACTTTGTTCGTCATTTGAAGAGCCGTTCTGCCCAGTAAGTGCTTGTCAATTAGCTAATATTATCTGGTTAGTCGGTAGTTAGCTAACGTTAGCTTGATACGATACGGGGTGGGGTGGCGGGGTGGGTCGGTTTGGTGGAACTTGTTTTTAATTTATTTGCTAACATTAACCCCAGAAAACGTGAGCAAACATTCCGACCGGTTCATCACAAGACCGGCTGTACGTTTTATGAACAAGCAACACAGGGTTAAATGAGCTAAATGGGTGATTTTGGCCGCTGCCTTGGTTAGTGTGTGTATGTGTGTGTGTATGTGTGTGCACGCACGCATGGGGGTCGTCCCTGCAAAGTAAACATTGCAGCGATAAAGTCAATGTTTACTGACAGTTACTTATATCTTGTCTTTTCACTTTATTAAGATCAGATTCTGCAGGTAAAATTACAATAATAAGGTGACTTGACTTGGACTTGACCTATTACAGGACTTGACTTGACTTGACTTGACTTGACATAACCTGTGACTTGACTTGACTTGACTTGCCCAAGAAAAAATGACTTGGGACTTACTTGAGACTTGAAGGTTAAGACTTGAGACTTACTTGAGACTTGAAGATTAAGACTTGAGACTTACTTGAGACTTGCACATGTGTGACTTGGTCCCATCTCTGGCAGTGCCCAGTACTTCTGACAACTATTTCCAATGTGGCATGGTTCATGTAGGAGCAAAATGAATCATTACTATATAGATGTGTAGTATTCTGTCTCCTCGTGTGTATAAGGCTTCATTGTACCTGAAGTAAACTGTGTCCTTGGAGAGTTTTCATTTGTGCATGAGAGGCTTACTTTGTAGCAGTTGTCATGACAGTTATCAGTTAACTGGAGTCCTCCCTTTGCCTCCTTTTTGCTTACAACAAACCTATTCAGAGGCCAGTTGTGTTTCTGTGCACTTCCTCCTTGAAGTCTTCCTGAAACCCACAAGCACAGCTTCGAGTGGACCTGACTGGCCAGTCGAGGGGAGCAGAGGAGTGGATGCTCTTGAACTCTGCAGTGAAGAGGGTTGAGTTCTGTCTTTCTAAGCAGCAGCAGTAGAGGATCTGTGGAACTAGTTAAATCTTTCAACACTGAGTGGGCATGAAGGCCCTGAACAGCAAGGGCAAGAACAGGCTGGCAGCTCTCATCAGTTATCTGAATAACTGGTACAGCACCTATGAATCAGAGTGAGAGTTTTTAAAGACTATTTTTATTCAACGAGGACACTGTCAAAGGCCACAGTTAGAACAAGGACAGACAGCAGACCAGTGAGCCAGAAGGAGAATTATTGAGTCCTTTATGACCAGATGAGTTACTTAATGTCCTACCAGGACTGTCGATCAGGAACCCCATACACATAGAGTCCTGCGCTGTGTGTTGTAAGAGGATGCAGACAGAAAGCTTTGCACCCCAGAACAACTGATACCTACAACAAAAATGAGAGCAACACACCATTCAGTTCATCCACCTTCACTGCTATGCCTCCGACTGCTTCCTAGGATCAAAAGGCACACACATTTGAAGGACAACATGCTCACCTCTGTGTGCAGCTCTTGTGTGGTCTCTCTCCCCTTACAAACACACTCCAGAGTTTCCACAGTCTGCCAGTAAAACCCTGGACTGAGACCAAATATCCTATCTATAACCTGAAATACAAAGCCAGGGGAACAGAATACAGTCAGCGACAGAGTGCAAAAACATTTGTGTGCTTGAAAATATACTAAATGACACTCTCTGAAGAGAACCACCTTTTTGACAGAGGTGTTGGAGATGAAATTATTTAAAGAGGAAGATGGCAGATGGAAGGGTGAGGTGTGGGCTTCTTGGTCCAGGCAAATTTTTGAGCTGAAATAGCCAGCTGGCTGGTTACAGAAAGGTGAGTAGATGTCCATGACCCAAACACATGCACTTTCACTTAAACCTTACTACTTAAAATTGAACTAGGAGTGAAACTTATCTATGGTCTCAGACTCAAATACTATTGGCGGCATGGTGGTACAATGGTTAGCATTGTTGCCTCACAGCAAGAGGGCTCCTGGTTTGAACCCAGGGTGGAGGAGCCCTTCTGTGTGGAGTTTGCATGTTCTCACCCTGTCAGCATGGGTTTTCTCCAGGTTCTCCAGCTTACTCCCACAGTCCAAAGACATGCAGGTTAGATTAATTGGTGACTCTAAGGGTGCTTTCACACCTGCCCTGTTTGGTTTGGTTCAATAACACTCAAGTTCATTTGCCCCCTAACTGTGGTTCGGACCTTCTTAAAGAGGTGGTCTCAGTCCAGTTACAACCAAACTCTGGTGTGGTTCGTTTGTGGTGAGAACATGTACCGACTTCAGTCTGAACCAACTGCAGTCACATGACACATTGTTTGGGTTAAACGTGAGCATGTTACAGTCCTGGAGGATTATTAATGTGCACCTCCTCCTGTACTGCCTTAATATGCACATTCAGCACATCCAATGCATCAAAACATTGTTTTCTAGTTGGAGCCGCGCCTCGTTTTCAAACTGTATGGTTTGACTAAAATGAACATTGACAGCAATATAGTCCACGATGAGCAGCGCTAAAATCAACCTGCGTAGTTGTTCCTCCATTGTGACATTAGAAAGTGTCGCATTTATCTTGCTCTTCTTCAACGTTTTGTTTACTTCCTGGATTTTTCCAGCATGGAAATTCTGACCAATCAAGAGTAGCTTTCTCACACAAGGCATTTTATCTGGTCCGTTTATAAATGCTGCCTTGAGAACACAAATCAACTCGAGGCAATTATGTAACATTCTAACAAAATGAGTCCCTGATTCGGACCAAGCGAACTGTAGGTCTGAAAGCACCCTAAATTGCCCGTAGGTGTGAATGTGAGCATGAATGGTTGTCTGTCTCTATGTGTCAGCCCTGTGCTAGTCTGCTGACCTGTCCAGGGTGTACCCTGCTGCTCACCCAATGTCAGCTGGGATAGGCTCCAGCCCACCCACGAGCCCTAACAGGATGAGCGGTTATGCAAAATGAATGAATGAATGAATGAATGTATGCTCAACACATGCATTTCCACTAAAACCTTACTACTAGAATTGAACTGGGGTGAAACTTATCCATGCTCTCCTCAAGGCCGGACTCCAATACTAAGGTTTTCTAGCGACAATGCATGTGTTTGGGAAATACTGAGCATACGATTGGATAAATGAGATGTGGATTATACTGGACGAGTTGTGTGAGAGTTTATCAAATGTTTTGATATAGTTTTGCTGCTGTTAAAGGTGGACCCCAGTGACTTCAATTCATGAAGATTGATCACCTTGTTTGGACTCTCCATTCACTGTGGAGGCATATGAGAAAAACAAATTTTTTTCTCACCAATTCAACATAACATGTGGAGAGTAACTGACAAACTAAAGGGTATTTTGCAGGTGAAGTCTTCCTTTAAACACTTGCAATTTTGAGTTCTGTGGCACTACTTAGAAAACCATAAAGAACATCAGTCCTTTCAGCAGCTGGCTGCTTCTGATTGACAGAATTGGTTGGTCAGTGTATTCCCAGTTGCTCAAGAATCTTATGTTGTTCTTGTTGTAATGGCTGCTTCACTTGCTGTCTCTGTTGGTCACTAACAAAATCACTGTCATGGTTAAAATAAGTGTTTGCTGAGCTGTCAGTGGGCTTTCCACTTTAGGGTTTCTGTACTCAAACTGTACATGTGAAGACTGTTTATCTCCCCACAGATGGTGTGACTCATGACTACATTTAGACTCCACAGACTGGGTTAGCTTCTCTTTAGGTTCTTCTGCTTCATTCCCTGGCACTGGATACGGAGAATCTGTATATCTGTTGGGATATTTATTCCTATTTCTATTCATCCCAGATTTTGTGAAGCAACATACTCATGCCAGTCATTTCCCTGGAAGCAGAGAGAAATGACACAATATAATGAAACAAAATGTGCTGGAGTGAACCATGACAAATGCTTCTAATGCAGGATATATTTACCTGTCCCCCATCTGTGATCCAGCAGGCACTTTAAGATTGGGTTTCTTTGCAGGTGGTATTTCCTGGTGAGTGTTGTGTTTGGACTCTGATGAAAGATTTGGGGATGTTCTTTGTTGTTTTACTGAAGGATCAGGGCAGCGTAGGTCAATATAAACAGTGGGACATTCTCGATGGTTGAGCTGCAGCTTTGATTCTAACATATCAGATGATTTGTTCCACACATTTTTCTGTCTGCACGAAACGGGTAATATTATCATGATCGTACAAATTTGGTCACAAAACGTGTGACTTACCTGATGTGTTTTGAACTTGTGACATGTTTCGACACAGATTTAGATGACTGGCTCTCACAGAAAGGGACTATTATCCCTCCATTGTATTCCCCTGGGACCTGTCTTTGTCCCCATCTATGAACAAAAATTGAGTTGAAACTATGACACAAGACAGTAAAGTCATATTGCACTAAATGCACAAACCCTTAATCATCTGCCACTACTAACTACAGGGGTGTGTGTTTTCTAATTACTTACCTGCGTGTGTTTTCGCAGGTTCAGCTGAAACTCTTGGTTCCAGAGGCAGCCCGCCCTCTTTTAGATTTCGGAGGACATCAACCAGATCCCACCGGTCAAGCTGCTGTGTAAAAACACTAGTATTTCTGGTAAAAAGGTATAGCCCCTAAAGAATATTTACCTTCACTTGCCTGCACCTTTTTTTACTTTCCTAAACTCACCACAAATGAGAGAATGGGAAACCCCCCATTCAGGTTTTGTGTCATCCACATTTAATTTTATACAGGCATCTACTTTGGCTCCGTTCCACCCCTTAATACCTCTTTCACAAGCATATGCCTTTAATGGTGAAAGGGTACATATTTAGTGTCATGATACACTGGTGTGAGCAGTTGCTGTAGATCAATATAACCTACCTCGACATCAGCATCAGAGTGTTGTGTACCCCACTGAGTTGTAGTAACGCCCTCTACAATTTCATTATCATCTAACTTTACATTCTCTTCTGACCAGTACATCTGCACTTCGGGTTTCAACAGCTTCAGATTGAGTAAAGGCATGCACACGAACACAGAAGCATTACCAGTCATGTTTGTTTGGAGGCCCTGAACAGACAACACTTCAACATGGGGCTCATGTGGGTAGTAAATGGGCTGAAAATGGGCCCTATATGGGATTGTCCACAGGTTTAATAATGGCTCACATTGATGGGTTTACCCAAATGGGCCACACGTGGGTTATGCTAGGGCTACCTGTGTACCAAGTGAGTACAGGCCCAATATGAGGATCTTATGTGGAGCCCGCTTGGATAAAATCAACCATGAGGGCAACTGGCATACAGCCATGGTGGAACCTGTGGATAGTCCCACATTGGGCCCATTTTTCAACCCATTTACAACCCTCATGGGCCCCATGTTAAAGTGTTGGCTAGCTGGCAATACTGCTGTCATGAAACACTAACACTCTAACACTAAAACTAACTAACCAGCTAATCTTTAGTCTATCATCATCCATTGATTAAAAGGTCAAAGTCATCAGGGACCTTCAGGGACAGACCAGTTGGTCTTTGATATACAGTGATATTCTCTTCACTCTCAGGCTGTAACATTAAGAGGAACCATTATTTTGGTGTTATTGGCAGTAGTAAATAAAGTTATGTAATGTAAAAGTAAAGTTACTGTGGTTTAGCTACTATGTCCAGTGGAAGTGGTATAAAGAAGAAGAAAACGAAGGCACACAAGTTTTAAGACATTTATTGCACTCTTGAGGCAAATTTTCCAACAGTGTATTTTTAAAGTGACAGACATTAAACCTTACTACATCTCACTACATCTTATACACACATCTTGAAGACATTTTTGGTGTCTGAGCTGTACAGATATTATCTCCTGGCTTTAATTTTTGCCAAACGTTTGTTCAAACATCCCACTCACATAAATGATCAACTTAACTGGGATTTACACTGAAGTTTAATGGCTTAAACATAAAATTAAGTAAAAGGCCACTTCAGTTTGTTTTGCATAAGGGTTATGGGGCTCCCAGGAGTTCACCTATTTCTTCATAGCAGATTACAGGCCTGTGCCTTGGTTTTTAAGAGTTTCTGGCAAGTTATCCTCATTTTTTACCATCCAAATGGAAGCCCCCAAATACTTCCACTGCCATGAAAGTATATTTTAAACTTCAAAATATATTAAAATATTTTAAAAACATATCAATATGCGTCACATTTAATGCTATACATTTCTTTTTATCTCCTGCAAACATATTTCCATATAGAGCAACTCCACCTTGTAACTTGATCCCAAAGTGGTAGAGCTCAGGTCTATACAGTCCATCTTACACTCCAATGTCAATATAAACGGAAATCAAAAAGCATTTGTAGTGAACTGAGGAAAATTAGACCAAATTGGATGCAGGGAGGTGACAATATGTCACTTACTATTAACAACTCAATTAAGTTAAAGCAAATACAGTGTTGGTTCATCTTTTCATTAAAAAAAAGTCAGCATTTTACAACTAAAATATTTTTTGAACCATTTTATCTAAAGGCTACAGACCAACCACTTATCTCTAAAAAAAATAACTTGAATCATGCATTAGTGTTACAATTAAAATCTTGAAATCTGAAACTGAATGAATATATATTGTTGAAAATACAACAGATAACACCAACCAACTCCCTGAACATCTGTGCATGTTTGTCTAGCAGCTTTGGAAGAGTTCACTGTCAATATCCCGCAGGTCCTGACCAGCTACACGTGGTGGGCTGGTGCATGTAATGTTGTTGTATATGGTGATAGTTGAGTCAGGCTCTTCACCCTCTGCGTGGGTCTCCACTTGCCGAGGTATCACCAACGGATTCCTCAAGCTGTAGTTTCTGAGCGGGAGGGCGCCACAGTCACATTTCCACTTGTTCCCAGATAGCAAAAGTTTTTCCATACTGTCTGGAAAATCAGGGACCAAGCTTGTCAAGGTATTATCTCTCAGGTCCAGAAAGCGAAGTCTTGGGAGTAGCTGCTTTGTTCCATTCTGCAAAAACTGCTGACATTCATTGTTGGACAACAGCAAGTACTCCAAAGCCTTTAGGTCGGAGAACATATGGGGTGTGAGTACTTCCAGCTTGTTGTATCTCAGGTCCAGTCCCAATAGGCCCACCAGGTCCACAAAGCTGTGGTGTTCCACCACAGAGATGTTGTTGTGCTGCAAGAAAAGCCTCCGTAGACCAGAGAGTCCAGTAAAAGCTTGAGCTGTGATTCTTGTCAGGCAGCCTCTCTCCAGATGAAGGCTGTGAAGCTTTGACAGACCTTTGAACATTTGGTCTGGCAGACTGTAGAAGCAGCTTCCAGACAGGTTGATGACAGCCACATGAGAGAGTCCAGCGAAACAACCCACTTGTCCCTCCTGCAATTGGTTGTGGTCTAGCTCTAGGACCTCCAGATGACCAAGCCCTTCAAAGATCCTTTCTCCCAGGGCTCTGATCTTGTTGTAGCTGAGTCGTAGCTCTTCTAAGTATTGCAGATCCCGGAAAGTCCTGGGCCTTAGTCCAGTAATGGAGTTGTTGGAAAGACGCAGCACATGTAGACTTACGAGGCTCAAGAAAGTCTCATCATGGAGAGAAGTCAGTTTGTTGTTCGTGAGATCCAACCATCTTAGTGACTTCATGCCTACAAAGGCTCTGGGGGCCACTGTCACAATCTGATTCTGGGCCAGGTAAAGCTTGTGCAGTTTGGTGAGTTTAACAAACACATTAGCTTTGATTACCCTGAGATGATTTCCAGTCAGGTCCAACTCTTTCAGCTCAACAAGATTTTGGAAAAGCTGTGGCTGCAAGTAGGCGAGTCTGTTTCCTGCAAGATAGAGCTCCCGTAGACCATGCAGGTCATGGAAAGCTGTCTCAGGTAAAACTGCTAATGAGTTCCAGCCAAGGTTGAGGAGCCACAAGTTTGAGAGTCCTGCAAACAGTCGATCCTCAATCCGAGTGAGCTGGTTGTTGTGCAGACTGAGCGAAGCAAGGTTAGGCGTATTCTGAAAGATCGTAGCTGGTAACACCCGAAGGCGATTTCGGTCAAGGTGAACATTTGACAGCGACCTAAGTCCTTTGAAAACCTGAGGGTCAAGTGTCACCAGCTGGCCACTCTGCAGAGTCAAAAAGTCGAGGTGAGAAAGATCCTTGAAAGACGCAGCTGGGAGGGAGGTGAACAGGTTGCCATCCAGCCAGAGAGAATGAGTAGAGGTGGGCATGTCAGATGGGACTTGTGTGAGGTTACGAGCAGTGCAGTACATGTTGAGCTCCAAGGTGTACTCATCATGCAGACAGGTGCATCCTTTAGAACATGGAATAGGCTCTTCAGCCACTTTGTCTCCAGCTGTGTCGGGGTCTGGCAACACCAGTGATGTTCCCAGTACCCATAACACCAGTAGTATAATGGTTTGCATAACAGCTGTGGATAGAATATTAACATCAAAATATAAATACTCAGGAAATTCATTAGAGAATGAAGAAATATATCATTTTAAATGTTTAGATTCTTCGAGGCCCACATTATATTGCTTACCTTAAATATGGGAGGTCTTGATTTACTGTGGACAGGCTGTGAAACACTGAATGACTGAACCTTGTGCAATTGTTTGTATACTGAATGAAAAGTCTGCCATGCCCCCAAAGCCTTTTTTTTTAAGTCGAGTGCACTGAATATGTACAATTAACCCATTCATGTCCATTAGACTTGTGCTGAATTTTTCATACACAGCCTTTTTTTTCAGTTTCCTGTTTTGTTTTCCACCAACAGCAGCTTTGATTATTCCAATGCAATAATCTCACATGCTTAATGACTGTATTGTTATAAAGCCTGTAAAATGAGAAATTAACTTCTTTCCATTGCCTCAGCAAGGTGTTAACTGTGCTCAAACAAGATTCTATGAATTTTAAGTACATGTACCTCAATTATTCTCAACATATCTCACACCTACTATTGTCAACCTAATGAAGGATTCAACATTAAGGCCCTGACATACTTGTCACGTTGAACATCAATTGTAAGCTGCTGACTTGTACTAACTGCATGGATGTGCATGAGGTTCCAATCATACTACAGTTGAGGGGCCACATTGGTCTTGCTTACCACACGTGCATACTACCTGATCCACACTTCATTGCATTGGTGGAGACAATGGAGATACAGTTAATATGGTTATTATTTCCTTAGTTACCTCATAGAGATATGAGGCACAGAAATGAGACAAGAATTCGCTAGCTTTTTCACCCAGTGGTGCCTCCACCTCACTTCCCTGCCACCCGGGAAGTACCTAGTCGGGAAGAGAGCAGATGGTAGCTCCTGCGTATACTGAGTGGCCGTCTCCAGAGCTGTTGTCCACTGTCTTTGTGGCAAAGTACTCTCCTAGCGATTGGGAGTGAGGCGAAGGGACCGCGAGGTGCAATAGCTAGCTAATTGCACCCCACTAATTGCACCCCTCAGAGAGGTATAAGGCACTGAACTTGACTAATTTTATGTTCATCAAATGAAGCAAGAATTAGGTAGCTATTGCACCCTGCTGTCCCTTCGCCTCACTCCCCGCTGCTCGGAGAGTACCTGGTTGGGGGGAGAGCAGATGGTAGCTCCTGAGTATACCGAAGGGCTGTCTCCGGATCTGCTGTAGACTGTCTTTCAGGCCAAGTACTCTCCTAGCAGTTGGGAGTAAGTCACATGAACCACAGGGTGCACTAACTAGCTAATTCAGTAAATTTATCAAATTCAGTGCCCCATGTCCCTGAGGTAACAGAACAGTGCCCCCCCCCAATACCTCCAGACCATCCATTCTAGCTTCAACCAATGCACATTAGGAAAGAAAATGGTAACCCAATGACAGCACGAAGAACTCATTTGCTTGTTGTTTTTAGCTGTGCAACAACAAAAACGTGTACCTTTAAAAACAAATTATATAAATGTGGGTAACAGTGGATCTTCTTGCACAACCTCTCTTCAAAACAAGCGTCTGTTTTGGCAAACCAGCTAAAGTTGCATACACCACCAACTGGACTTTAGTGTGGAACAAGAGATTAGATTTTGTAAGCATTTACGGTCAGTGTGATTATTATGTGTACAGTCCGTGTGGTCACCAGCTTTGGGCTGGATACCCACACGTCCACATAGGGGTCCACACAGACCCACACGTACATAGGTTGATGATGTAATTTACCTCACGTGGACCAAAGCAGACATGCGCGGACAGGCGCTCCCGGAAAGTATGAAGCGGGCTTATGTGGCCTTTGGTGTTTACTAAAGTCAGGGTCCTGTCACTGAGTACGTTTGTTGTAGCTTTGGACAGATATACAGTGGAAAAGAGATAAGATGAACCCAGTGCACTAGACCCTTGACTGAATTTATGACTTTGCTCTTTTTTGTTTATACTTCACCTTTTAACAGGCACATTTGACGAAAGGTAATACAAGGAGGCATTGTATTCCACTTCTTACCTCAAACGTGGAAGTGTATATACCTCCAATTAAATATCGTTGGAGACTTAACAATCCCCTTATCATACCTCCTTGTTATATTTGAATGAAATTAACTGCAGGCACTATGCAGTCTGCACTATGACACCAACTCTATGTAAGGTACTTCATAAAACCCATAATTCCATTGCAGGATGAGGTCAGTTCCAGGAGTCCATTTCCTAATCACATCTATGATTGTAATGACTAACTTTCTGTTTGCTCTTTTCCTTGGTATCTGGGTTCTTTTAGACAACCATGAACTGGTCATGCTCTAAAGGACAACCAAACCAAGATAACACTGTGTGCTTGCACATGAATTTTATTGATTGCCTTGCCAACACTGGATTCATAACACTATGAAGAAAGATTATTATGTTGGATATATCCTCTAAGTGTCATTCAGATCTGGTCCTCGTCTGCAGTGAATAAGTAGGCAAAAGGTTATCAGATAGGCAGGGTACATGATGTAACCTTACCTCCTGTAGGCGCCAAAGGTTACACTCAATAGATTTAGTGGCACATATATGATCTTTCTAAGTATTTTGATTTTATATTAAAGTGATAATAGTTATTTGTATTTACGTAATGGTCCCACACAGACTAATTGAGATGTATGCCTGGACTCCACTGCCATTTAAGTTTAAATCTAGAGTCTATATTTTGTAAAGTGAACAGATTTAGATTGAATAATGAATGTGGCACACATTTGGACAGTACACAGCAATTCTCATGTATCGTCTGTGTTCTAGTAGCAACATTTTTGTGATAAAATACACATCACCAAAAAGAAACACACCTCATATTTACTTTTAACAGCATGTTGTGTACGATAACCTATTTACCCTCATGGAAACCTTTTTTTTTAATGTCCTAGCAGCCAATCAATCCCCATTTCACTCATTCTGAGAATTGTTGTGATGTATTCTGAGCAAATGGAGTCTCATAAATTCTAATGTGTATTTCTCTTGCCAGCAGAGAGCACTACTGGTCCGTTGTCACATCTAGGCTTAACTGTGTGGTATGCCCTTTGTCTGTAAAGGGCTTTGTAGCCTTCTAAAGGGATCTTGTGTTTAATGCTAGGCAGAGTATGACCAGGAGGGGTAAGCAGAGGGTTTTAAACATAGAGCATATATCATATAGCTGTTTCTCTCTTATTTCTTGGTGTCTTCGGGCAAATATTGCAATGTATTAACAACTGAAAGGGAGTTTTGGCTGCTTTTGCCTCACAGAATGAATATCAAATCATTTTACAAGCAGGGAAATAAAGCACCAAGGTTTTTACTGCTGCTTCAGTCAACCAGTTGCTGCACTGAATGGCTGCCATAGTGAGTTGTTTCACGATTGTTGCTCCCCTGACAAACACCTCTAATTGGCTCATTCCCCGGCACTCAATCAGACACAAAGGTTTCCAGGTTTGTCAGTTGCTGTGGGCTTCCTGAGTGGAGGAGAGGAGTCTTAATAGAGAGCAGCAGAGCCTGCCGCTGTGCCTGCGAATGTTCGACTCGGCTCAGCCTCGCTTCTGGAGGGATAATTTCCTCAAATAATTCTGGATAAATTTTATGCTTCCTCAGCAGTGGAGAACGGGCCTGAAAGGCATGATGTCAATCTAAATTGGATGGACGCATGCCGATCAGTGTTGAAACCCATCACAACGTCTCCTTTGCTCCACTGCTCTGCAAATAAATGTTAGAGAACTTTTGACATGTGATGCCAAGGAAGCCCAGTGCAAACTTTTAGGATCCATTAAAACATAAACTACACATAACGGGTCTTCAGATTAATTCAGCTGATGCTGTTAGGCCTCTTTAGGTCACTTAGTGTATCTTTTTTGTATCGACAGACATGTTTATGTATTATCTGTCAACGCCACACTCAGAAATCAAGGAAGTTTGGTTTCCTTCTGAGTTTTAAGTTTTGTTTAAATGTACTTATTTTTGTCAATGAAAATGTATGACATAATCAAAGTCTTGCTCCACAGGTTGGGTCAGTTATTTAAAGGCTTGTTTAGCTTCAACCTCAGCCTTAACTTTATTGTCCCCAGGGGAATTTTGTCTCAAAGCGTGGTTAAATAAAATAAAATAAAATAAAATAAAATGAAATGAAATGAAATGAAATGAAATGAAATAAAATAAAAAATTAAAATGAAATAAAACTTAATAGGATAAAATAAAAATAGAGAGCAATGATTAGCTGATTAATCAATACGTCGAATGACAGAAAATTAATTGTCAACTATTTTGATAGTCAAATAATTGTTTTAATAATTTTTAAAGCAAAAAAGCAAATCATTTAATGCTTCTTGAATGTGAGAATCATACGCTTTTCTTCATCAGACATGATAATAAACCGAATAAATTTGGATTTTTGGACTGTTTGTTGGATTAAATATACCATTTGAAGCTGTTACCTTGGGCTTTGGGAAATTATACAGGGCATTTCATTTATGTTTTTCTGACATTTTATTGCCAAAATTATTTTTTGATTAATCAACAAAATATTAGACAGATTAATTAATAATCAAAATAATTGCTTGTTCCAGCTAACAACTTAATACTACTACTATGAATATTAATAAAATAAAAATAAAGAAATAAAAATAATCATAATTTTAAAAGTCTGCAATGTCACGCTAACAAACAAACAGGTGGAGGGTAAAATTCATCACTTCACCTATTGAAAGTAGGCTTAAAGTATGAGTCAGACATTATCACCTTATGTTGTTTCTCAAGTATTTGTAAATTATTTACAGTCAGAAATGATTCTCCTTTGAAACCATGCATCTTTATCATTAGTCACACATAAAACACTGTAACATTAACCAGTACCTAAAAAAATCAATTCCGGTATTACCTACTTTCCGTTAAGCAAAGACAGCCAAACACCACAGTACATATAACCGCAGGTGAATCTCAAATAAGAAAATAAAAGCCAGCAGCTGAATGCAGTAAACTGAACCTAGGGGTGAACTCTGTAATCGACAAAACCATAAAGCAACACATTACTCCTCCTGGGCTGGTGCAGTGGGCCTCTGAATATATGCATAATGTTGGACCCTCCTGTTGGTCTCATCTGTTGCACATAATATGGTGCATAGTGGTGCATACAGCCACAGGGGACAGCCAAAGGAGTTAGTT